TTTAATCAATATTATCTAAGAGACTATACTTATAATTGTTACTGGTTGACCACAGTTCACATCCACCTTGTGACTTTCCATTGGATCAATATTACCTAAGCCACTATACCTGTAATCTTATTGGCCGATTATAGTTTTGTCTCATTTTAGATCCGCCTTACTTTGTCATTTAGCTCTATAAAACTCCCTTGAGAAGCTAGGGTTCCCATTTACCGGCTTGGATCCCCTTCTGCATCTCTTAGACAGCAGCGCCCTTTCTCTTAATAAGTTCTTTCTACTCTTAATCTCTGTTGTTCCTAACATTCTTTCTTCAATTTTAGAGAACAGGAAATCTGTATCCGACAGCTAGCAGGTTGGGAGCTGTATTTCCCCTTTATACCCACACTCCCCAGCTGCCTGTTGGGTTCAGCTTGCCTTGTTCCTTGGTGCTTGCCGGGCTGGCGGAAGGAGCTGGGGAAGCTTCCCTGCTGTCTTCAGGCTTAGTCTTAGGCAGGCATGACACTTCTGTCTCTTAGGCATTGCAGGATTTCTGCCCTTTCCCCAAGTGACTAAAGTCTTTTTTGTTTTTGTTTTTTTTTGAGACAGGGTCTCACTCTGTAGCCCAAGATGGCCTTGAACTCACAATGATCCTCCTGCCTGAGCCTCCCAAGGGCCGAGATCACTGAGGTGTGCCACCATACCTGGCTTAAAAATTGGGGTTTTTCTTTGTTGTTTTTTCTGTTCCTTTCTCCACCTGCAGTGGGCTTTCCCAAGCCTCTGAGAGTAACAGGGGTTTCTATTTCAACCTCCCAGAAGAAAAGTGCCTAAGAGGTTAGCATTTCCTGCATCTGTGCCCCACTTTCACCTCAATCACCAGCTCATCACTACCTCCCCAGTTTCCTAACTCTTCTAGCTGAATCCTTCTACTTGGCAAGAGTTTGTAGCCCCTGTCAACCTCTCTGTGCATTTGGGGCCACTGACTGTGCTGAGGCCTCAGCCCTGGGCAATTCAGGGAAGTCACAAACTTGTAGTTTGTCAGCCTTTCCTGCTCATTTATTTATTTTAAAGCTAACAGTGATGATATTCCCAGCTCTACCTTCCCACACAGAACACAGGAGTCCTAGGAGCCTGGGTTTTTTTATTTTGTTTTGTTTCCTTTTTCTTTTTTTTTGAGACAGGGTCATGCTATACAGTCCAGGCTGGCCTTGAGCTCACTTTGTAGCCCAGATTTGTCTCCAACCTGCAACAATCCTCCTGCCTCAGCCTTCTGAGTGCTAGGATTACAGGTGTGCACCACCACACACTGTTTTAGGGACCTAACAAATAATTTTTGAAAGACAAATAATTTTATTGTTTATGAAACAGGGTCTTTTTGAGACAAGTCTTAAAATGCTTCAACTCATTTTGTAGCCCAGGCTGGCCTTGAACTCACAGCAATCCTCCTGCCTCAGCCTCCCAAAGTGCTGGGATTGTAGGCATGCAACCATGTCCAGCTACAAAATAGATTTGTACTCAAGCAAATACATCAGAGTTTTCTTTTGCATCTGTTCTATCACGTTCCTCTGCTATTTAGAAACCTAAAATATGCACTAGTATGATGAGGGTAAGGGACCTTGTAGCCTTTCCAGTAAAAACCCTTGATATTCATCAAGAAATGTGTATATAGCTCAATGGCATAAGCACTTGTCTGGCAATTAATTACAAGGTCCTGAGTTCAAGTCCTCATACCAAAACAAACAAAAGAAATATGAATGAGAGGCTACTATTTGTCACTGTTTGGGTGCTGTGGCAACATCAGTGAACAAGGCTTGTATGCACACGTGCATGCATGAGAGATGCTGCAGGGTGTGCCTGAATAATCTCCCAAAGGTTTCAGTGCTGAAGTCTGGGCCTCCCCCTTGGAGATCCTCAGAGATGGCAGAGACTTTCAGAGGTGTTCATGTCATCAGAATGTGCCTTGAGGGCACTCTGGGGCCTGGGTCTCTTCCTTTTGCTCTGCTACTTCCTCTTGTCCTGAGCTGAGTGGTTCTGCTCTCCTCCTGGCTGTGATGTACCACCATAGGCCCAGTCAGCCATGCAATGAAACTTCCAAATTCTGAGCCAAATAAATCTTTCCTATTAGTTGTCTCAGCAATTTCTTATAGTAACAAAAAGCTGATGAGTGCAGAAACCTGGAAAGTTATATTTTCTCCTGGAAGATATCAAATAGAACAAGATATCCAAGATGGAAAGTGCTAGAGAACACTGGGGAGAGAGAGTGATTTTAAACAACATGTTCACAGTAGGCCTCATTGAGGAAGATATCTGAGCAGACTTGAAGGTAACAAACTGAGCCACATGGACATCATGGGGCATATCAGGTTTTTGTGCTATATAACAGAATAAATGTAGCGGCCTAAAAAGCTGCATAATCGCCACACTTTATCATGGTTTCCATGAGCCAGAAGCTCAGGCACTGCACAGCTACCTAGGTCCTACAAGGCATCTGACTAAGGCATCTGCTGGGCTACATTCTCTTTTGTGGTCTTGACTGAGGAAGGATCCCAGCTTCCACCAATGGCACACAGAATTCTTTCCCTAAGTTATAGGGTTATGGATCTTGCTTCTTCAAAATAACAAGGGGCAGATCTGCTGATAAGATAGTTTCATAAAACCCGAGGTACTACTGGAATGACACTCAACCGCCTCCATTACAGTCTATTTCGTAGAAGTGAGTTGCAGGTCTGGTTCACACTCAGGAGGAATTATACAAGGATGTGGCATCAGAAGATAGGATCCTGGATCTACCTTAAAATCTGTCTACCACATTAGGGACAGCTAGAGGCAGGTGCTGAACCCAGATGACCCTTGCTGGAGACGCACATTTTAGGACTGTCAGCATATAAAGTAGATGGAATTTGAAGCAACGGAATTGAGAATGTGGACAAACATGTCTGAGGAGTCTGACCCCTGAGGTACTCTAGTATCAAAGGAGAGATTAGTGATGGAGACTGAAGATGTGGATTTTGAGACTAGAAGAAAACAAGAGGCTATTGTTATGGTTTGAGTCTGTAGGTCTCCCTAAAACCTTATGTGGTTATGAGGGCAGGCTTCTAGAGTTTGTGACTGATGCAAGGTCCAATGCTGGAATTATGGGTGTGACTCACCCTAGGATGGGTGTGGCCTATATACAATACAAGGGACAGAGTCTTCTCTCTGCACTTTTTCCTTTTGCTCTTGTTTTTGCTGTCTTCTGCTGCCATGAACTGATGCTCCTCTGCCATGTGCCATTCTGCCTTGGAACCAGCTGATTAGAGACCAAAACCTCCACACACTGTGAGATAATAAACCTTTCCTTTCTTCATTTTGGGTGTTGGGTATTTTGTTTCAGCAATGAGAGAAAAGTAACCAAGATAGCTATGATGCCCTGAGTGCCAATGCAGAGCAGCCCTAGGAGGAGTGACCACCATATCCTAGAGGATAAATCTACAGGTGCCCAGTGTGTGTTGGGGGGAAACAGGATAAGCTAGGCATGGTGTCATACATCTATAATTCCAGCAATGGGGAGCCTGGGGCAGGAGTTTGGTCATGTGCTTGCAGCCTGGACTACAAAGTGAGTTCAAGATCAGACTGAACTACACAGCTAGACCCTGTCTCAAAAAATATAAATAAATGCAAGATAAAGCTTGCATCTTCTATCTTTGTCTCCTTTACTACCTGGCTCCACACATACACGTTAATCACTTAGGGAATGATTACAAAGTTTATTGGCCCTAAAAGTACCTAACCTGTCTTATTCCCCATCAAGGCTGAGGATGTTGATATCAGTGTGATTAATTTTCAGGAGTGGTAGGAGCTACCAATTTTCAGCTTTTATAACATCCAGTTCAGACCCTCTGAGTGATGCCTACAAGTCTCCAGACAGTGTCCTAAGCCTGTAATCACATTCCTAGAAAAGCAGAGAGCCTCAGAGGCTGCCCCAAGATAAGATCACCTCCCCAACAGGAGTCTCATGATAGAAACCAAAGCTGCCACTCTCTCTCTCTTTTTTTTTGGTTCCGGGGATCAAACTGATGACCTCGTGCTTACAAGGTAGGCGCTTATGCCGCTGAACTAAATCCTCAGCCCTAAAGCTGCCACTCTCACACAAGGACAGTCGACTCACAGGATCCAAACTGCCTCTCAAACCACGAGGATTCCACTAGAGCTATGAAACAAGAACGGAGGTAACAGTCCCTGGGGCTCCAGTCTTCCACAGCACCCCATAAAACTCCCTTCCTTTGCAGGCCGGCCAGTCCCCTCGGCCTCCTCAGCCCTCCACCCGCTTCAGCTCCTTCAGCTGAAGCTCTTCTCTACCTAAGCTTTCCTTCGTGAGGGGGCTGCCTTGGTTTTTGTCAGAGCTGTGCCTTCTCCCCTTCATTTTTTCTTACTAATTAAAGCTTTTTCCTGTAAAGTGGTGCTGAATGTCCCCATTTTAATTTCCACTACCACTGAAGCAAGGACCCACACTAGCCAGTGCTAAGTCCACGCTAAAGGGAACCAAGGACTGACAGCTCAGCTCGGTGGGAGACCCGAGGACAGGTCGTCGTCGTCCTCGGGACACCTTCCAGACTCTCAAGCCAGAGCACGAATCTGCCCTGCCTCTCCCCTGGCCCACTCCTAAGAACTGAGGGTAAACCAAAGGCCTGGGTGATTGCCGGCCTCACTGCCATCTGCTGTTTGCGGCCACTAAACACTGCGACTTTCCCTTCACTAGCGCTCAGACATCGGCAAGTGTCGATTCTACTGCTAACTAACCCCGCGAGCTGACCGGCCCTGCCCGACTGCCTTGAGGCCATCTTCGTGGTCCTGGGACTGGGGTGCCCGCCCATGGTCGTGCACTCGCAGCCAGCCAGGCACGGAGCCATTTCTCCCGGTTCTTGGTTCAAGGCAAAAGCTATGCGCATGCGCCCACTAGGCGGCTGGACCACGCCCTCAAATCGCGCACGCGTGCGCAATGGCACTGGAAGAGGGTGGGGCCGGGCGGGGCGCCTGCGCAATGGGCGTATCGGGGCGGGGTGCGGTGGCTGTCAGCTGACTGGGGCGGCAGCAGTTTCGCTGGGACAACCGACGGACACGCAGGCTCCGCGGGGGCGGAAGAGCTCTCCCGGCCGCGTCACTGTTGGGTCGGCTAGGCGCGGGGGCCGCCGCAAAACTATGGCGACCACTGTCAGCACGCAGCGCGGCCCGGTGAGGGGGCCGGGAGTGGGCGGCGACCTGTGGCGGCGCGCGGGCTTCGGGCCGCGCTCGTTCCCTCAACCGCGCGGGTGGCCCGCGCCAGCGCCCACGGGTCTTGGGCTGGGCCCCGACTGGCGGGCTCTAGGCGGAGGAGGCCGGAGCTCCCGCCCTCTGGACCCCAGGAAGAAGAGGAGAGGGAGGGGGAGGGGAACTCAACCTTGATGGGCCCCAGGAAGAAGAGAGGTTTCCTGCCGTGATGTACCATCAGGAAGGAGGGCTCCTGCTGTGATGGCCCGTAGGTGGGCGATGAGGAGAGTCCACAACCTTGTTCCTCCCCAGGTGGGGGAAGGTCTTGGCCCCTGGTTGTTCCCATGAGAAGGAGAGCTCCTGGCTCAAGAGGTTCCCTGGTGGAGGAGGCTTGGCCCTGATTGCCCCTGGGCTGGAGAGACCAGAGCTCGGGTGGCCCTCGATAGAGAAGAGTCTCGCGCCTCATTCAGACTCTGAATGAGGCAGTTTCCTCTCTATCTCCCGCTCAGAGCAAGGGCCATGCATCTGGGGGGTGGGGTGGGGGCTGTTATTGTCCCGGTTCAATGCCTCAGGTTCTTCATTTGCAGATGATAGAGTAAGAGCCATGAGCTTCGGGGACTCTTGGAGCTGGAGATCCTGTTGAGGGTTGCCTGGGTTTCCACAGCGGTGCTGTCTGTCCCTGCAGGAGAACTGCTGGACTGGTCTCTGGAGAGCTCCCTGAGACTGACTGGGGTTGGGGTGCTATGAGCAGTGCCAGTGTGCAGTGGGCAAGCAAGGCTCTTCTGAACACACCGCAGAGCCTCTTGCCTAGCGTCCAAGCACCACATGTACTTGTGAAACCCACAGTGCCCAGGACTCCTCATTTTTACCTCTAGGTGTTGACAATCCTGTTTCTTCCACGAGCAAATAAAAGATTCCTTAGTTTAGACTTTTTTCCCCAAGTTTGGGAAAGGTACTTATTATTTTGGTCTTTTTCCTTTTTATTGGTACTGGGGATCGAACTCACGACTGCCTGCTTGCAAGGCAGGCGCTTATGCCACTGAGCTAAACCTCCAGCCCCCTGGAAAAGGTACTTTTTCTGAGGACTTTGAAGCCTACCTCCTTACTTACTACCCTTGATGTGGCTGCTTTCCAGAGTCAGTGGAAAGAGGGTTGCCTCTTGTGTCCCTTCTCTTGTCTTTCGTCCCTTCCAGAGAACTACAGCAAAGCTTGGTTGTGTGTGCAGAGCAGACAAATAGAGTTCCCTGTGCTCTCCCCTCCTCGCATCCTCTATAAAATAGAAGGCATAAGGCACCATGGGGTCTGGGTGTCTTTGTCTTCTGAAACAGCATGTCAGCTAGTGTGCGACTGAACTTGCATTCCTGTGGTGGTGTGCCCAGAGTGGCTTGCAGTGAGCTGTCAGCCCCTGTTGCTGAGAGAGACTATCTCTGGTGGCTACACAGAGCTGGAATAAGTTACATGCTTCGATGAGTAATTGGGAGTGGCAGACAGTGTTTTAGACTTGTGAGATCTGTGGTGCCAAGTTCTGATGTTTGCTCTGACTTCATACTCTCCAGTGTTGCAGAAATCACGTAGTCACGTATTTATGCTGTAGGCAGATGAACAAGTATTTTAAGGGCACCCTTAGTGCTCTACAAGTGAGATTTGGGCTTTAAGAAGGTACCATCAGCTGGGGTCTTGAGTTTTCCAGGGGTACCCAAGGAGTCCGTGGTGTATCCATTCAGCAGTGTGAGTGACGACAGTATTTAAGGCAATTGTGATAACAGTCAGCTCTGTAGGTGTGTAAGATAAGGATAGAGGGCTGCATTTGGTGGTTTAGGTGAACTGGGCAGTGAGAGTTAACAGTTTCCATCAGGTCTGGAGTCCACAAATTAGGTGCTGTGAGTTTGTTCCCTGGGCTGGTTGGGTCCATCTGTTTGGGACACTTCACTCGGCTGGAAACTTGAAGCAGCAAAAGTGTGGGGTGGGCTACCACTGAAAACAGAAGGATTTGAAGACAGAGAGGGAGGAGGATGATGGGGTTGCATACCCAGGTAAGGAACTGTCTCTTGAGCTTTATCTGGATACTGCACACTTTCTTGACATTTTAGGGGGGCGCACCATCTGAAGTTGCCACCTTTCCCACCAGACACTTAACCGACAATGACTTGCTGCAAGCCCTCTGGATTCACTGACACTTGTAAAGATCTTTTGGTCAGTTGCTATTTACTATGCTACCCTTGTTATGCTGTGGAGTGAGGAAAGTATGGAGATAACAGGGTGCTGGCTTCCAAACAGAAGGCCCTGAACAGCAGCCTTCTTCCTATCAGCTACTGACAGGGTCAGACCATGGCCCAGGGTCTCCCACCCTGGACCTGGACCACCACTTGGGCAGCTAGCTGAGGTTGACCACTGTCTTCCTCTGTGAAGGAGGAGTAATGGATGGTCACTTTGCCTGGTCTGAGACTGCCGTCTGTCTGTAGTCAGGACTTCTGGAGGTAGGGGGCAGTGGTGGAGAGGCCCTGCCCAGAAGCATCTCAGCCACCTGTGAAGGAGTCTGTGGTCTGTCAGCAACTGGTGCAGTTCTTATTCTGGGAGATGTAGTGCTTCCTACTTAAGGATGTTTTGCTGAATAACCACCGAGGGATGCCGCACTCTGCTCTGTATCCACCTATTTTGAAAAATGCCTATATTTTGCATTTTTAAATTTTATTTATTTATTTATGTCTTTTTGAGACAAGACCTCACTATGCATTTCAGGCTGGCCTTGGGCTCACTTTGTACCCCAGGCTGCTCTCTAAATTGCAGTGATCCTCTTGCCTCAGCTTCTCAAGTGCTGGGATTACAGGTGTGCACCACCATGCTTGGCTCTTACATTTTAGAATTAAAGCACTTGATGAGTTCACTCACAGTGAGTGATGGTGGAGGGCTGACCTCTGTGGGGACTCAGCTGGAGGTGAGGCATTAAACCTCACTAGACCTGTGGCTGGAGGCTGTGTCAGGGCAGGGCGGCATTTCCAGTGGGACTCCCTTGTGGATGTGGAGCCTGCTTTTGGAGGTGCTGGGTGTCAGCAAGCTGGGTCTGAAGCAGCCAGCCTTGCCTGTGCCCCTTGCAGCCTCTTGCCTAGGCCCAGGGCCCTGTCAGTTTGGCGTGTGTTTGGTGACTATTAGGGTGGCAGGGTGCTATTTGAGTTGGGTCATTTGTTCCTGGGGACTATGCATGAAGATGAGCTTCCTAATCAACCCGACTATCTAATTGTTCTGAAGTGCAAGGCCAGGCAGATGCCTGGTTCTTTGCCCCTACTTATTAGGGACAGAGGAAGAGTTTTATCTAGACTTTGTGTCTTCACAAATCTGTGGTTTCCTGTAGCTTCCACATCTGAGTCGGTAGCCTGTGTGCGCGTGCTCATGACTCAGGTGCTGAGCAGGCCGGCAGGCCTGTGTCTCTGGGTCCCACTGAATGTCTCATTCTTGGGTTTTGGGGCACAGTTACTTGTGTATACGAGAATGTTACTGCGGTGTCTTCCTGTCAATCAGACTGTGGCCGTGAAACGGTGTCCGAACTGGCCTCTCACCTTTACTTACGTTATCTGATAGCAGCATGGCTCCTCTTTCCTTTCAGGGAACATTTATTTATCTGATGTTGTCTTTCATTTTTTGACTTTAGGGTTTATCCAGTGTTATGTTTAAGATAGAGTCTTCTATACAGAGTATAGCTGCATTCCTAAACACCCAGTCTTAAGTAGTTCAGGTCTCACTGGAACATATTAGTCTTGTTTTTGTAGTTACAAACACATACACTTTCAATACTTTTATGCTTTTATTTGTCCCACTTGTTCCTTTTCCACTCCTTGCCTTCTTTGGGATTTTTTTAAACACAGGTTTTTAAAAATTCTAATTTACACAAATTCAATTCACTAGAAATTCTCTACTTACTTGGAAAATATGTAGTGTATTTCTGTTAGTGGTTACCATAGACATTTTAACATGCACAGTGATGGAGCTCTGGGGTCAAGCATATCATCCACCTCCCAGATTGGTGCAAAGATGGACCAGCCTTGTTTCGAGGGCCTTCTCCCAGTCCAGGAGCTCCTGCAGGGTGTGTTGTGTGCTGTGTGTGGGAGGTCTGCTCTGCTGACTTCTGGCCCCTTGCCTCTGAGTCCACTTCTGGTCTGTCTCCAAGTCACTGTTTCTCTTCCACCCCTTGAGTTTTTCGTGTAAAGTAGTTGAGGCTTTTAAGTGCAGTGACAGCTTTCTAGCTTTGGGCAGTTTGCCATTCACAAAATCTTTCCTTGTGGACTCCTATGGTGATGGGCCAAGGCCACACAGGCCCTGGGAAATGGCTTCACTAGTGAGCTGCTGGGTGCCCAGTACTCAGTTCTCATTTCTCAGAAATCTTGCCCATTCCTGTGGCCAGGTCCCTATACTGACTTTACTCTGACATCATCTGGATAGCGAGCTGAGTGCAGGTTGTTTGTATGGGTGCTGGGGACCCTTCAGAGGCAGGAAAGAGGAGTGGCCAGCTGTAAAGGTGGTGGGGAGGGACAGCAACAGTTTGTCTTGTGTTCATAGACCCCCAGTGATCTGTCCTCCCTTTGTCTCCAGGGCAGCAGCCCCGTTCTGGCTTAGCCAGGACATGTCACTCTTGACACAGCTGCTGACTCTCCATGGCAGGTTTTTCCCTCATCCTCCAGGGTCTCACTGGTGCCACAGCTTCACACACTCTCAATTATTGTCTGCTCTGCTCTGAACTCGACCCATCCAGCAGCCTTCTCCTTGGTTGTCCCAGACACACAGGCAGGTCATTCCATCCTGTTGCTTAGGCCAAAGTCTGGGATAACCTTTCCTCTTCTGTCCCCTGTTTCCTCTTCTAGTGGGCTCTGCCCTCTGGGGACACCAGCACTGGAGTCCCACAGCCTTCCTCATTCACTCTACCTGTCCTTGTCTGTGATCAAGCATGAGGCAGGCGTAAGTGTGAGGCTCAGCACACCCTACTTTCTGGCCCCTCTCTCCAGTGACTCCTGGGGCCATCTCTCAGGTACAGGAACACTCCTGTGTCAGCTTGTGGGACTTTGGCCTGCAGGTGTTGCAGATACTTCTGTCTGGGGGAACCTGGGGCTCCTTGGGGGCCTGTCTTTCTCTTGGGGTGAGGCAGAGCATGTTAGTGCTCACACTTGTGATTTCCATGCCTTGGTGCCCAGGGGAGGGATTGTTGGGTCTACACTGAGGCTTAAAGTGCGTTACTACTACCAAGTCACAGTGTTCATCTTTATCTTCAAGCAAAACTGTGTTTAAAAACTGTATTATGTATCCGTTATCTGGATTAATCATTTCTTTATGTTCCCAAAGATCAAAGCATGAATGTGAACCAGGATAAAACATGTATTTTTATATGGCAATTTAAACATTTCCTTCCTCATAAAGTGGCAAAAATACATTTTAGGGTTAACATTGAATTTTTAAAGTACTTTAAATGCATATTTACTGATGACATTCTCCAGTGCTGTTGCTGACGAGAGAGAATTGAGGCCATCGGCTGGGCTCACCGAAACTTGGGGAACATTAACTTTGTTAGCAGAGGAAGCTCTTCATGTGTAAAAACTGTCCTCACTGGGATGAATTTAGTCTAAATTGAGAACTCTTCAAGGACTTGCAGCAAGAGGCAGGCTTGGCTGTCAGTGTATTGCATAAGCTGCTGTTCCAGAGGGCCTAAGTTTCCCCCTCCACTTCTCTTGCTCTCCTTCCCCTCTTCCTCATTAGGTTAAGTTGCAACTTTTCCTAACAAGCTTCTGATATGGGGATAATTTTATATTTAAGGAGAAGCTGCAGAGATGATAGCGAGTCTTTTTTGCTTTTTGAGACAAGGTCTTGTTCTGTAATTTAGGCTGGTCTTAAATCCACTTTGAAGCCCAGGGTGATCTGAAACCTATAGAAATCTTCCTGCCTCGGCCTCCCAAGTACTTGGATTACAGGTGTGCATCTGTGCGTAACTAGTCTCATCTAGCTCCCCTAGGGTTAGTGTGCCCATCACCATGACAGCCATGAAGCTGACTTTGGTCTACTCTTACTGGTTCCAGATTCTGCTTGCTCCGTTATGGCACCCCATCTGACTTGGTGCTTTGCCTTTGACCAGCATGTCTCTCTAGTCTGGACTGTATTTCAGGGTCCCCCTGTTTTTCAGGGTCATGAGTTGGATGAGGCACACTGGTCTAGCTCCCTGGTGCCAGCTGGGGATGGGCTTGCTCCCCTGGCCTGCCCAGTATGGGTATCTTCTTCCTTAGTTTACTTCTCTGCTCTTTTTTTCCTCCAGTCATACTGTTTAACTCACATTACAAAAGCCCTCCTTTCCTACTTGTAATTTTTTTGTTAAATCCTTACTGAAAAATAAAAGCAGTTTGCTTTTTTAAAAATATATTTTCCCCATTAAAAAATGGTCCTACTAAGCAGGGGATTTAGCTCAGTAGCATAAGTGCCTGCCTGGCAAGTGCGAAGTCGTGAGTTTGAGCCCCAATAACGCAAAAAAAAAAAAAAAACAAAACAAAAAACCAAAAACAAACAAACAAAAAAACGGTCCTACTCCAGTGGAAACTGGAAGAATATAATACAAAGGACACCTGATGCCTGGAGGTCCCAGCCCCAAGAATGGAGCAGCATGCCATGGCTCTTCCCAGACTGGCTGGCCACCTGTGAGCTGCATCTCAAGAAGCACAGCCCCAGTAGAGGCTGCCAGGCACCATGGGGAGCCAGGGCAGGCCTGGCAACCTTGGCCGCACAGGCAGTCCTTTGCCAACAGGAGCTGCCTAAATGAGGCTGGGATCCTTCCTGGTCCCTGTCTGTGCTTGTGTTTCAGAGGTATGGAGGGGTGTGCCGCTGGCCTCCTGTGGGAGTGGCTCCTCCAGCAGGCAGGGACACTGTGTGCCGACCCATGTGAGGAGGCAAGTTGGTAATCTTGCTGGTGTGATTGGTCTATGTGCTCTGGAAGCACCAGGATGGGGAGACAAGGGCGGAGCCTGGCTTTCCTGGAGCCTGTGGTGGAAACACCCAAACCTTCAGGGAGAGTCCCCCATGGGGACTGTGTGCAATATCTTTCAGCAGCGTACCTTGCCTGACTCACGTCCGTGGCACTGGTCTCCATCACATGAATGTTGGCTGCTAGGACCCCTGTGGGCAGCAGGGGCTGCAGGCAGGTGACTCAGGCCACTGAAGGGCTGGAACTTCTCCCCCAGCAGCTCACCCCCGTGTCCATGAAGGTTCAGGCCTGGTGGGCTTGGTCATCACTCTTTGATATCATAGACATTCTTACATGTGACCTCCAGACACTGCACTGACCATGTACAAGGAGGAGCTGTCATTGCAGAGTTGGTGGACCTGCCTTACTGAAGGTATAGACAGCCCTGTGCTCATCCCTGCGGTGGCCTCCACTGCCTCCAGTCCTTGGCCCCCAGGCAGGTGGGCCATTCTGACTGCCAGTGTCTTGCTGTAGATCCACAGGATGCCTTCCTTAGGAGTACATCCCTGGATCTCACTCTCAGTTTCTGTGCCCCAGGGACCTCTGCTGAGCCCAGGCTGTGAGCCTTGGCCAGGGGCTTGCTAGGAATTGCTGCAAACCCTTTCTATGGTTTCCTCCTGTTTCTCTAGATGACTTCTTTTTTTCAGAGGCCTTCTGGTTTCTCCCCAAACCCCTGCATTCCCCAAACCCCCACTCTGGGGAGTGTCCCCAAGGACCCTCACTGTCAGGAAGCCAGTCAATAGGGTTAAGAGAGAAGAGGCAGAGAGCAGAGTGGTGAGCCGTTCTGAATAAATTTGCTTCTTATTTTTCTTCCAGAATCGAATTTGAACCATTTCAGTTTGAAATAGTTGTTTTTTAGGACAAAAGGTTTTCCAAGTAACTTTGGTTCCAAGTTCATCTCGTTTATGTGTTTAACCCAATGATAACCAAAGTTCACTGGCCTTGCATTTAGTTGTGATCCAAGAGAGAAAAAAAAAGATCATGGACATAGACCTCGGAGTGGGTCCTGGAAACCATCCAGCAAGCCTTATTGGAGGACAGATGCCTGATTTTAGGGACTGAAACATATTCCTATCATCTCTGGACTCTGGCTTGTCCTAGAGCAGGGAAGCCCCAGGGAAGGTCTGGTGGAAACCCTCATTCCTTGTCCTCATTTGTAGAAGGGGAAGCTAAGGAGGCAGGGCACATCCAGGCATGATCAGGAATTGGGGTGGGGGCTGACTGGCTGCTGACACTGTCCCCTCTCTGCCTGCAGGTGTTAATTGGTGAGCTGCCGCAGGATTTCCTCCGCATAACACCCACACAGCAGCAGCAGCAGGTCCAGCTGGATGCCCAGGCAGCACAGCAGCTGCAATATGGAGGCACATTGGGTACCGTGGGCCGCCTCAGTATCACTGTGGTGCAGGTGGGCACTGGACTGCCCTTCCTGTTGGGGGGCTGGCACCAGTGGGGGAGGAAAGAGGCAAGCTGGGCTCCAGGAGGCAGTATGGATTTTGGCCCTTTGTAGCATTTCCCATGTGGACAGATGGAACTTTTCTGATTCTAGTGTTTCTAAAATCTTGTATATGAGGTTGAAAACTGACATATATGAAAAAAATACAATTTCCCAGGGTTCTTCCTAAAATAATTTAAAATAGGGGCTGGGGATTTAGCTCAGCGGCATAAGTACCTGCCTTGCAAGCAGGCAGTTGTGAGTTCGATTCCTGGTACCGATAAAAAGGAAAAAGACAAAAAAAAAAATTTAAAAATTATAATGAACACTGGTGGGCATCTGCTCTGTCCTAGGCACTATTCCTCCCCCAGGGAGACTCAGTGGCTGGGGTGCTGATGTTGCCCAGGACCACACTAGTGTGTGCCCAGCAGTGACATCTCAACTGCACAATTCTGTTCTGTCCTAACCATGTGTGCCCACGTGTTATCCAGGGACAGTTGTCTCGGTTACATTTCTCTTGTTGCTGGACACAATACCCAACGCCCAAAGTTAAAGAAGGGAAGGTTTATTTAGCTCACAGTTTGTGAAGTTTTGGTCCATAATCAGTTGGTTCCAAGGCAGGGTGGCATGGTACAGGGACAACCATTCATTGGCAGGTACCAAAAGCAACAAGAGTAAAAAGAGAGGGCCCAGGAGAAGACTCTTTCTGTACCTTATACTGTTTGCAGGCAACCCACCTAGGTTGGGTGTAGCACTCAACCCATAAGAAAAGGAGGGCCCTTTAGGGATGAGTTGCAGTCCGGCACTCACTCCAGACATGCAGAAAAGGACCCTTTCTCAGGGAAAGCAGAGAGACCCATGCCAGTGCAGGGTATGGCTGAGGGCTGCACTGCTGCCTGGATATCTAAGGGCTGTACCTGGCTTGGGAAGGTGCTGCATTGTCTTCTTGTGGTCACTCTGGTGGGTTCAGAGGAGTCTCTCTTGGAGTTGTGATTTTCATCTCTGGTAGCCAGTGACAATGGACATGTGATTTCAGTTATTTCACATCTACTCCTGAGTTGTATGCTGAACAGTAGGTTTTTAGGTTTTGTTTTTGTTTGTTTTGAAAAAAGGGTCTCACTATATAGTCTAGGCTGACCTTGAACTTGAGTTGATCCTCCTGCCTCAGCCTCCTCCAGAGTGCTGGTGTTACAGATGTATGCCATCCCTAGTAGTTTTTTGTGCCGCATCTTCACCTCATAAGGGCTCCTGGTTTTGCTCCCTGTGACACAGTTCACAGCAGACCATCAGACTTGGAGGTGGGGCTGGAGGACTGTGATTTGGACACCTGGTGCAGGAAGAGGGTATTCTATCCTGTGAGCTGAGAGGCTGCCATGAGTTGCAGGAAGCTGAAGCTGGGGAAGATGCCTCCAGGTCCGTAGGACTCTGGAGCAGCTTAGCTCTGGGGCACCCCGCCTCCTCCCCTCCTCTCAGCTGTGTACTGTCAGGTGAGGCCTCATGTGCTTCCTGCCAGGGTTGGAGTGACTCTTCACTCCTGGAGTCCTGAGAAGCAGGTTAGCAGCATGTTCAGATAGATTTGAGTGGCTGAAGTGCTTGGCCCAGGAAATGTGGCAGTGGACAGTCTGAGGAGGCCAGCAGCTTAGGGAAGCACCCACCTTTTCCTCTGGTGCTGGGCACTGCATCTTTCTGAACTTGCGTTTATTTCAGGCAAAGCTGGCAAAAAATTATGGCATGACACGCATGGACCCTTACTGCCGCCTGCGCCTGGGCTATGCTGTGTATGAGACGCCCACGGCCCACAACGGTGCCAAGAACCCTCGCTGGAACAAGGTCATCCAGTGCACGGTGCCCCCAGGCGTGGACTCGTTCTACCTGGAGATCTTCGACGAGGTGAGAGCTGCCTGTGTCTCGAGGCTGCATGTGGCTCAGATGGGGCAAGGTGTGGTGTGCTCCATCATCTGAGGCCTGCTGGTGACAAGGCGCACGTCCCCCCAGAAACAGCACCGGTGGCCCAATGTTAGACACGCTAGACAAAGTCGATAGTGTTTAATCACAGATAGGCTGAGTCCCACGCATGTCTTGGGATGCTGTTTCTGTAGCACATGGTGCAGGTCTGGAGCAGTGAGCCCTGTATGTCATAGTCCTGTCAGGAGCCTGCATGCAGCAGGCTTGAATGCCAGGCAGGAGCCCAGGGGCTGAAGAGATGCCTTCAAAACTGTCTCTGGGCACCAGATACCTCCTGCCACAGGGCTGCATACAATAGGGCTGATTATGGAAAGGGTAAGGGTCTCACTGCTGCCCTCTGCCATTTCCTGTCCCTTCCCCAATCCTGTCTGGAGGGGCAGAGCTTGTGGAAAGGAGGTTGGGCTGTATGTGTGCATCTGCTTCCATCTTGTGCCTGCCTAACGTGCTTGGGTCTTGGGGGTTGGAGCAGCAACTCTGGAGGTCCTCCCTTTCCTGTCCTAAACCTGGCCTGTACCAGCTGGTGGCCAGCAGCTAGGGTAGAGGGATGGGCCTGAACCTTACTTGAGCAGGAACTCCCTGAAGGGGCTGGGAGCCTTGCAGAAGTCTCATCACTATAGCCCCGGGGAATGTGCCCACCTCTGTGCCTTGATGTGCTTGCCTCCCTCTCGTCCCCCTCAGCGAGCCTTCTCCATGGATGACCGCATTGCATGGACTCATATCACGATCCCGGAGTCCCTGAAACAGGGCCAAGTGGAGGATGAGTGGTACAGCCTGAGTGGGAGGCAGGGTGATGACAAAGAGGGCATGATCAACCTGGTCATGTCCTACACGGTGAGTGCTGGGCTGAAGTGGCCTTGGGGTGGTCAGCCTGGGCCCACTGCATGGCATTGGCTCCAGGGCCCATGGGCCCTTCCCAGGAGGCAGTGGCTGGCCATGAAGTATGCAGCATCTTGGTGGGGACACAGGCAGTGTGAGGGCCCTACCCTAGGGCCATGGAACAGAGGCTTACATGTGCTTGGCAGTCGCCCAATGTGTCATCCTCCCACCTGCTGCCTCCATTCTCAGAGCAGGTCAGCTCCTGGGACCTTGGTGGGGGAGGGCGGTCACAGGCAGGCAGGTTAGGGCTCTCTCCTATGGTGCTGGGCAGGCATTCTGCTACTAAGGTACATCCCCAGCCCTTTTAAATGTTATTCAGGGACAGGGTCTTACTAAATTGTCCAGGATAGTGTTGAGCTGCGAGCTGACACTGGGCTGTTGTGAGACGCTCCTTGTGCTGACGTTTTCTCTTGGGCAGCAGGTTCCGAAGTGTCCCTACCAGGCTGCTTCCTTGAGTCTCACTCTCCCGACTGCAGCACCCAGTTGTCATCTTCTGCTTTGCCAGCCAAGAAGGGGTGCTGGGTGTTGGTGGGGCCGATGCGAGTCCTGGGCTCCGTACTTGCAGGACCATTACAGTGAGCTGGAGATGAGATTTTGACCCCACAATCCTCTTGGTGTTTTTCAGTCACTGCCTGCTGCCATGATGATGCCACCCCAGCCCGTGGTTCTGATGCCAACCGTGTACCAGCAGGGCATTGGCTATGTGCCCATTACAGGTGTGTTGATGTTTCTCCTTTGGCAGATACTAGGGTGGAGCCCAGTGTCACAGTGAACTTCCTAGCACATGTAGCAACCAGAATCTGTGCCCTAGTTGTTAGCCTGTGGGCGGGGAGTGACCTTTGTGGAAGTGTGGAAACGAGATCTTGATTTAAACGCTTGTGTGTGCGAGTCCATTATTCAAAGCCTATAGTCTTGTTGGTGGAGCACACTGAGTCTTCAAATGAGTACTTTGTGTTAGAATCATGTACCTGTGTGAAGCCACCACTTGCAGCAGCACACGCCATCATGTTAAAACACAACTTTGTATGCCTTTGCATCCTTGGATTTTGTGTTAACCTCTTGGTCACCTCAGCCATGACTGGTGTAGCACCCCGCAGCCATACCACTGGCCAGGTAGTTTCCAGGTGTTACCCAGCAGGCAGAGGAGACTGCAGCCTCAAGAGCAGAGATGCCAGGGCCGGTTCGCAAACACCTGTTCCATGCCAAAGTCCAGGAAGCTGAGATCACAGCAGAGGCTGGTGGTCACACTGCCCCAAGAGGACCAAACCAGAGTCCAGGGTAGTGGCAGGGGGGGGAGGGCACCCCTGGCCCAGTGGGCCCTCTGGTTGCTGGTGCTGGCAGCTGAGTAGTGTGAGTTCATCTGGGGTCCTTCCAGCCAAGGCAGAGAGGCTTGTCGATGCCTCTAGCCACCCAGCGTCTGAATGGAGCAGAGAGAGCTCCAGGAGTCAGGATCTTACCTCAGAGCTACCTGCACTTGGCTGCATCCAGCCCCAAGAGTAGGCAGCACTGGGCCATTCCAACTGTGAGTGCATTTGGGGATTTCTGAGCCATGACTGCTTGCAGGAGTAAAGGGAAGCACTTTTAGAGGAGAGGGGAGGCCCAGCATCCATGGGAGACCTTGCAGTGCTGGCTGTGGTAGAAAGCTACCCAGTTAACGGGATGACCCAAAACTAAAGCAGCTCAGTGTTCAGGGCTCCAGGAGAGACCTTTAGCACAGGATGGCAGCACTACAGCAGGGACATAGGGACCACAAAGACCTGGGGATAGCTGCTGGTGACAATCAGGCTCAGTGATAGTCTCTTGCATCAGAGGAATGAGGGCCGAAGAAGGAGCCCCATCTGGAACCAGGTGAGCTTTTGAAACCACACAGTCTGTTCTCCCAGTTCTTGTGACCAGATGCCCAAAGCAGGAGAGGCTGGGCCGTGCCTGCCAGAGGCTCTCTTGGGGCCTCCAGTGCCCTCTGCTTGTGGCTACCCCACCCTGGCCCATGGCTCAGTCTGCACACATGCCTTCCCTGTGTGTCCGTCTTCCTGTCATTGCACGAGGGCCATCCCACTCGCGTGCAGCTGCATCTCAGCTCTCTGAATCTGCAGAGACCTTTAGCCGGCATGGGGTCAGGACTTGACGTATCTGTGTGGGGGTCACGAGCCCATCCTCTTCAGTTACCAGCGCCACAGTACATTTGGTTAATGGAAAAGCAGCTTCTAAAGAGGCGATGGCCTGTTTTTCTCTGGGTCCTGTCCTTCATTCTCTGTAAATGCCTTTAAAATTTGTCCTAAAATGTTTATTTAAAGAAAGACTAGGATTCCTTATGAGCAGAGCCTTTGAACTTTCCTTTTGATATACATTTTAAAATTTTGGAAGTCTCCTACATACAGAAAAGTTACAAGAGAGAGCAAGTATTTTTCTGTTGGAACTTCGGGAGGCTGTGGGCCCCACCCGCCATAAGCAAGAACGTATCTCTTTGAGTGCATGCATGGGCACTGGTAATCCTCATCCTGCTCTGAGAAGGGCACTAGCCAGGCCTGGCCCCACGTCCATCTGTCCAAGCTGTTGCCTGTTGTCCACTGTTCTGGTGGTGACCTGCTGCTGCCTGAGGAGGCTACTCTCGTTCATCCCTGCTGTTGACTATTTGTGTGGCACAAGGTGTGACTGCAGGTGATGGCTCATCCTTAAATGTTTTTTTTTCTTTTTTTCCCGTATCAGGGATTGAACTCATGACCTCATGCATGCCAGGCAGGCACTTGTGCCGCTGAGTTAAACCCCGACCCCTGAACATGGTTCCTGTTTCTCACAGACTAAACTGCCCACTGCAGGTGTTGCTGTGGGGCCTCACAGTTCGTTCAGTTCCCTGAACAGAAATCTGTTACTCTTACTATTTATATTGTTTCCCAGAGAGAGTTCTTCAGGTGGGGCTTGCTGTCCCCTTGGCCTGTTCTGCGGCCACTGAATACACTATTTCCTGACTGGCACCCCAGGAAGCCTCTGTTTCCTTGTGCATTTCCTGCCTCCACCCTGGACTACTAGCTTCCAGGACCCTGGCGTCCCTTAGTTAGTTGAGACTCAGTTGGACTACTAGCTTCCAGGACCCGGCATCCCTTAGTTAGTTGAGACTCAGTCTACAAGCATCTGTAGTTTAGTGATCTTAAGTGTTGAGAGGCTTATAGTTGAAAGTTGAGCTGGTTCTTCCTGAGTCGTGCAAATCCTGAATACTCTGAGAGGCAGCCCTGACCATCTAGAGCATCAAAAGTCCAGTGCTTAAACTATATGCTCACTCACACATTTTGTGCTTCATTCTGCTCCGCAGTGGAGGCCTCGGGCCCATGATTCGAGTATGGTGCGTGGGTACTGGGTCAGAGGTGCCGCCTCCAGTCCCACAGGAAGTGGGCAGGCACAGCCAGGCTGACTCCCCAGGGACCATCTGCCCACACGTCCACACCCACTGAGCACCAGCTGCCTGGTGGTGCACTGGGGAGCTCATCCTAGAAGCCCCAGGGCAGTGGTGGCTAACCCATGGCACGAGTGCCACAAGGGTTGTTTGTGTCATTGAAAGCTCTATACAGTTCACCATCACTGCCACAGCTGCTGCCGCTGCAGCAATCTGCTTTCCAGCCAGAAGCCCAAGCTCAGGTCCTGGGAGCCTATAGAGCCAGGGAGTCCTCCTAGGTCCTTTCCCTCTTGTTTTCCCATAAGTCATGGTTCTCACCTCACTGAGTGAGATGGTGGAGAACAGGACCGTGGTGTTCAGAGCTTTCCTGCTGTTGTAGCCCTGGGTTTTATTTGATATTTTTTATGGTTCTGGGGATTGAACTCAGAACCTTTGCACGGAGCTGCATCCCCAGACCTTTTTTAAATTTTCAAACAGGATGTCACTATGTTGCTAAGTGGCCTGGGCTGGGCTCACACTTGTGGTCCTCCTGCCTCAGCCTCCCGAAGCAGAGTGATGGAATCATAGCAACACATCACCTCATCTGGCTTCTCATACCCCACCCCCAGTGCTTGGATTACCAGATAAATGATTTTCCATCAAAACAAAGATAAATACCTAATAGGCATCACATGGTTGGGTGGGACTTGACCTTGACTTTGGAGAAGTATGCCTGAGTAGGAGAATGGCGTGATGGACCACAGCCTCTGCTGGGTTTCTGAATTCCTGGGGCAGGGAGCTATTGTGTGTTGCTTACACTGGTGGCCCAGCAAAGCTGTGGGCTGGGGAGGTCAGGCCATAAATGTAGGTCCAGGTCTGCGTGTGCATGTCAGGAGTGGTGACACTTTGTTGTCACAATGCAGAGAGGGCAGGCAGCACCCACTGCATGTTGCCTATTTTAGACAAAATGACCTCATCTAATTTCCCTGATCATCTGGGCTGCTATTCTGCTTCCTATTTGCATGCAGCATGGAGAGAGTTGGTGGGAAGATTAATTCCCACTGCCGCCCCAATGGGGCCTCTGGTAAACACTGCAGGTGAACCAGACCTCAGGTCTTCCCACTTGCTGGGAACTACAGCTCCTCCTGCTGTGGCCACAAATGAATGTTGCTGTCTGTACCATCCTGTGCCACCGTTTCTCTGCAGGCCTGCAGTGCTCAGCTCTGGGCAAGTGCTCATCCAGTCCCATGCACTGCGACATCCATGGTTAGAGTGCTCTGAAGTACAGTGTAGTGAGGTCCTTTTCTCCTACCCATGAAGCTGTCCTGCGTCAGGCTCTGTGGGCTTCATTGTGTGTGCAGGCTTCTTAGAGGCCTTCTCAGTGGCTGCCTGGGACCTGTACTTCGTGAGGCCAGGCAATAGCCATTAGGTTGCAAGGGCCCCGTGTGATACCCATGGTCATCCCCTGGCTTGTGCTGGCCTGGGCTGTGGGGGTAAGTGGGGCTTTGGTCATGTGGACCACGTTCTGTCTGTGAATGGATGGTGTGAGTGCACTGTGGTACTGGCCAGAGGTGATGGGGTAACAGCACAGGCTCTGGCTTGCTGTCTGCTGCAGTTCTTCCTTGCTTTGGCCCAAGTCCCAGGGCACCTCACTTGTGCCTCACTGGGGCAGCTGGGCTCTCATCCATCTGAGCCTGCCATGTCCCCAGGCAGCCACTGATGTGTCTGCTCCCACAGTCACCCAGGGCTTGGTGAATGATTCCACACAGTCTTAGCAACAGTCAGGCTGGCATCATCCCCTGTGTACACAGTGGCCCAGTCCCTGGGGCCTGATAGAACAGGTGACAGCAGAAGGTGCCTCACCTGCCTCCTTCCCTCACCCGATCTCTTAGTTACTTTTCCCGTTACTGAGACGGAATACCCCACACCCGAAGTTAAAGTAGAAAAGCTTTATTTTTGGTTCACAGTTCATGGAGGTTTCATTCTATAGTCAGCAGACTCCAAGGCAGAGGGACATGGCAGGAATGGAATCACAAAGCAGAAACAAGCAAGCGACAGTGAAGCAGGAAGCCAGCCTCATTCAGGTCACCTGCCCTTTGGGCAGTGCCACCCACACCCAGGGTGGGACACTCTTAACCCCAGCATCATGCCCTAGATCCAGCCTGCTCTGGAAAGCCCCACCTGTAAGTGTTTGAGGTTCAGAGGGGATATCCAGGTATATGCCATAACACCCACCTAGGCTGACTGTGTTGGCCTATGCTTGCTGACCTTTGTGTGGACATAGCGCCCTGTCTGTGTGCAAGGCTGCCTAGATCCTCTGTGACAGGCTGCTGTCCCAGACCTGGGCCGGGCAGCACCTGAACTGTCATCCTCTGTGATGGGGCATGTGGTCCCCACCTGACTTGACGTGGTTTCCCTTCTCCTTGTTACTGAAAGGCCAGGCAGCAAGGGACGACAGTGCCACAACCCTTGCCTGTAAAGGGTGGTGACAGCCTGTCTTGGGTTGGGAAGGCAGGTGTCAGGCACAGAAGGGTGTATAGTGGAGGATGGGTAGAGGGCTGGAAATGCTGGCTTTCTGCTCCTTTTTATATCCAGGCTGGCCTCAGACTCAGGCCTCAGCCTCCAAGTGCTAGGTTTACAGGTATACGACCAAGTCCAGCTACTTTTAGGGCTCCTGATACTTTGTTTCAGCTAGCATTGGAGGCAGCATTCAATTTCATTTACCATCTTCTAAATGTAATGGGAGAAGAAAAGCCTTGCCCCCTAAGTGATGACTCTGCCTCACACTCTGGGGGGCCTAGTGGGGAGGATTGTTCACACTTTTAAAGCTTAAAGAAGTAGCAGCATTGTAAGACAGTGTGGCCCTTTAGAGAGAGATATGTGGGAATTCTGTGATATGTGGTTGCTTGGTGTCACCACACGTCCTGTCTCACCTGCCTGTGTCTTCCAACCTGAGGGCTGTGTGGCTTCTGCCGGCTCAGCCTGCAAGGCTGTGCTGTTGACTCTGCCTTCACTCTTTTGTTGCCTCTTCCTGTGATCATGAAATAACTTAAATGAGGTTTGAAAGATCTGATTTGCATTTGGGACAGAGACATGAATTTGGAGAGGACATTGCTTGTGGAGAAGCCCAGCCTCACCTGCTGTCCAGAGAGGGTGTTGGAGGCTGCCAGCTTCGTACTCCTGCAGGGTCTCTGTCTTGTGCAGCTCGTGATGGCCTTTCCCTTCAAGGAAGCTGGGAGAGTGTTGTTTCCTGCAGCTTGAGCCAGCCTGCACTTTGTGTCACTGATGTTTTTAGCAGACTTGTGTTGTTTCTAGGAATGCCCACCGTCTGCAGCCCTGGCATGGTGCCCATGGCAGTGCCCCCACCAGCCGTGACCGTGCAGCCCCGCTGTATGGAGGAGGACCTGAAGGCCATCCAGGACATGTTCCCCAATATGGACAAAGAGGTGATCCGCTCCGTGCTGGAAGCCCAGAGAGGCAATAAGGATGCTGCCATCAATTCCCTGCTGCAGATGGGCGAGGAGTCCTAGACCTGTCTGTTGCCCTAGGACTCGCCACCCCCGGTTCCCTGGGGTCCTCATCCCAACAAGATTCCTCTGAACCACTACCTGTACCCTCTTCCTCAGATACCTGGTGCCCCTCCCCACCTGTTTTCAAGATGCATGTGGGTCTCAGTTCCCAGCAGCCCTCTTGACTACCAGTGGGGGTTCCCTCCTCGTCTTGGTCGGATGATGGTGGCATAGTGCCACAGCACAGACCCACATGCCTGTGCTGGGGATGTGTGTCTCTTCCTCACACTGCTCTGGAAGGCATTCTCATAGAAAGCCACCCTCTGCCAGGGCATTAGAAGCTGTCGAGCATCCTTTTGAGCTTTTGAGAGACACAGTCACTTGGCTTGTTTGGGGTGGACCTAGTGACTTGCAGCATGCAGACCCCCATGCCCTGGTTTCCAGGTCACCTTTAGAGATCGAAGCCGAGCGTCCGTGTTCCTTCCTGACAGTGTTTAGAGCATGGGTCTCTTGCCTGGTTCCGCTGGCCACAGAGCTGGCCTGCCTCTGCCTTGCCCTGGTCACTTAGGCCACACTATGTCCTGCTGACCTTGCTGGCTCCGCAGGCCTTGTCCCACCTTCTCTTCCTAGGGCCTAGGGTGGCGCTACTGTGTCAAGGCACTGTCCGTGCTGTGCGCCAGTTCTAGTTGGGGGATGGAGTTGAAACCTAGTGAATGTTCACATTGGACCTTGCTGAGGCTGAGCTGCTGACACCTGGCTGCCCAGTCACTGCTGTCACCTCTTGTGGACCTGTGTTCTGGCTGCAGGCAGATTTAGGGACTGATGGGTGACACCATGTTGTAAGACTCAGAGCCTTGGGAGACACCTCAGAAGCAATGCACTTTTATGTAGGACGTGCACCGTTGGGAAGCCCTGTAGCCTGGTGTGTCACAGTGTGTAGCCCACAGTGCGTAGCCCACAGTGCGTTGCTTCTCGTTCTCAAGGGTATTTGTACCCAGCCTCTGAATGTGAGAGTCTACTGACATGGGTGTGACCATCAGACCTGACAATTTGGACCTCTTTGAATGATTCAGACTGAGTAAGTTAGTGCTTAAATTTCAGGTGTGTCTGTCACCACCACCCCCCCAACCCCCCCCCCGTCCCCACCCCATCAAAAAAGAGAAAATTTTAATCTCAGCTGCAAAATATTGCTTTCTACCATGATTGGGGTGCTTTTTGTCAAATATATTGATCATAAATCATTATTTTTGTAAACTGAAGAAGAGTGGGGTAGTGGTACAGGTGGAATGGTGGCACTGGGTGCTTTTCTTTAGTTGCAAATTGTTAAGGCTTTTCATCTTGTGGTAGAGAAGAAAGACACCAGTGTTTGTTAAGTAAGTTTGACCACCCACTTTAACTAGCCAGTCACTGGAGGTCTTCCTTCCAAGCCACTGTGTGGTCTTGTGCCTGCAGCCGGCCCCCACCCTTGGGGACGGATGTGTTGGCAGAATGGGATTCCCTTAGCTCCATCAGCAGACTTGGCCCAGAATAGCGCAAGCCTGCCGCATCTGTCCCCAGGCCCAAGTGAGGCTGCAGGTGCCTGGCCTCCACCCTAATGTTGCCGAGCTGCCTGCACTGCCCCTGCTGAGCGTGTCCTGGAGAAGGCTGTGACTCAGAGCAGTCTCTTTCCTTTTTCCTGAACACTTTATTTTTTTAATAGATCAAAGATGTATCACATTTTCTATGGCCTTAGTCAAATAAGATCCTTCATCCCTCATTCTGTGCCACTTCCATTGGAGCCTGTGGTGTTGTGCCTGTCTAGTGTGTATGGTGGGGGGGGGGCAGCAAGGCCACAGTGCCTGCTCAGGGTCTTGAGCACAGCCTGATTCACTCAGCTCACTGCCAAGTCCTCTTGGTGTGGATGAAAGGTGTCACCTCAGAAGGAGTGGCTTGTTCCCAGCTTGTAGACAAAAGTGGCGGTGGATTGAGGCAGGCACGGACGGGAGCTGGGCCCTTGCTGGATCTTGCTGCTGCTTCTGACCCTTGCTCTGCAGAGTCAGGTTGCTAGCAAAGCCCCAGGGATGGACGGTGGGAACAGCCTTCCTGGGCAGGTGTCAGGGCAAGGCCTGGGCCATGTTTTTTGAGGCAGATGTTGGTTGGATTTGGAGCCCCTGAGCATTGTAGTCTGACGTGGCCTCCAGCTCTGTGTCACCCTGTGAGTGAGACGTGTGTGCGTGGCTTTGTTGCACTCTTCCCCTCCCCAGACTGCCTCTTCATTGTGGCATTCGCTGATGTGCATGAGGCCCGTGTTGGTGGGTGTGATTCTCAGAACTTCTCTGTTTCTACGGTTACGTTCACAGGGGGTCTGTGTCCAGGTTTTCCTTTGATTGTAAAATACATTTCTACTTTTCAGCCTTCTAATTTAATAAGTGGCCCATATAAAAATAGAGAAATAAAGTCCTGAAAGGGGAAATTTGCCATTCTTGCACCTGAGTGTTTTGTAATGTAGCTCGCAGCATTCAGGAGAGACTCGCTGGTCAGGGTCACCGGCTCAGGGTTCACTCATTCACAACCATTCCAGGACTTCACAAAGGAAGACTAACTGGGCGAAAGGAGTGGCCCGTGGGAAAGGCTCAGATTCTGCTCCAGGTCTGCTGTGGTGGTGGCCACTCGTCCTCACTGAGCATCTTGTTAACTTTGTTCTTACGCTTGGAACTTCTCCGCCAGGCGACCTGGTGTGGCTGCCCTGCTTGGCTGTCCCTTGCTCAGGGATCAAGTGCAGTCAGAAGCATGCAGGTGTGCCTAGTGCCTGCTCACCACAATTCGAAGCAGCCCACCATGTGCTGCCACCCACCTGGCAGGGTGGGCAAGGCTGCCAGCAAGATGGTCACGATGTGGGGGTTCTCTGTCCTTGTGACCAGAAGTCATTGTGTGCAGTGGCTGCAGCTGGCATGGCTTTGTTCACCCAGCGCTCGTCTCTCCTTGATGCAGGCTGTTGGGAGTGCAGGATGGGCATCTCTTGGCAGCAGGTGCTGCTATCGTGGTAACTTGGATCTCATCCTGAATGTGGTGTTCCTGCTAAGCTTGTGATCTTCTGACCATTAACTTGTGGCAGTGTGAATGTGTTTTATTCAAAACAGCTGACAGAGTTGAGTTGTCGTTACCATTGGGCATGATGTGGAGAAGCAAGTGACATATACTTAGGAAGCTCCTCTAGGACCAAACACCTAAAGTGTTGGGGAGAAGATGTAGACATCTTTCTTTATGTGTAGGGCTGAGCACGAGAAAGTAGAAGTTCCTAAGGTTTGGGGAGTTGGGAGTGTCCGCAGGCTGGGAAAGAGCTCAGCATCTGTGGCTGAATGCAGAGCTGCGAGGCTCTGGGTGCAGGGCGTTAGCTGTGGCAAGCCTGGAGCTCCAACTGCTGGCATAGGGCCTGAATATGAGACCATGACCCTGTCCATCTGGGACAGCAGAGGGGCAGTGCCTCCATCAAAAGTGGATTTAGGAAAGAATCAACTCATGGTGCAGAGACAAGCAGAGGCAGAGCCTGCGCCATTGTGGCTTCAGTCCGGGAACCTTCAGCTGTGTTCCTGCTGGAGGAGGATGTAGTCAATGTGGTGTCTTGGGTTCCAGCACTGACAGAAACCCAGCTGTGCACCTGCAGGAGACAAAAGGTGCCAGGAAGCAGCTGTCTGCAGTGTCTGCAGAAGGGAGCCTCCAGGGTCCCACACAGAGCCTTCCCAGAATGAGGTGTGCTGGGCTTTAAGTGCTTTAAAAACAGACTAAGCTGCAGGGCAAGCGAGGTTTAGAACACAAGGTTTAGAAATAAAAAACAGGCAACTGGAATGAACATCACAGATGACTCACGAGTAGGTTGGACAGCTAAGGAAGTGGGGCTGGAGAGATTGCCCCGGAAACAGCAGGTGGAGCCAGGGAGTCAGAAACAGGTGAGCACTGCGAAGAAGGGCCCACTGGAGAGCAGACACCAAGAGCAAGCGCTCCAGGGCAGCCCGGTACAGGGCCACAAAAAGCCCAGGGAGCGTGAGGCAGGTGTGTTTAATGCAGCCCACATGGGACACTACAGCTCCTCAGGGTGCTGACGCAGAGGTGAGCTGTCCATCCTGAGGCCCAAAGGACTCCTAGGACAAGAGAGAAACGAACACCAGGCATTGCAGTGAAGGAGGCTCTGCTCCCTGTTAGAGGGAGAGGAGACTTCACCTTCATTCCTGAGTGAAGCTGCACGCTAAGATTTTCAGAGCCACATGCCACACCACACTGTGGGCCAGTTACCAGGTAGGGGATGCAGCCTCTCTGAGCCACTAGTGTTTCTGGACCTGTGGGCCAGAAGAGTATAGTAAACCAGGATCAAGCGGGACCATGCTACTTCTGAACCTTCCGCCCTCCTGGTGGCCTTGCTCTGGGCTCCGGACTCTGGGCACTGAGCTGTCAGCTTTTACTCAGGTCTGGGCTTTCACCAATCCACTCCACACACAGGGCAGGTGTGCTGTATTAGTTTCAGGCCCCCTTGAACCTTTCCTGCTGACATGCTCTTTCTGATACTGGCCGAGCACCGGAGGCTGAGTATCCATCTGGTTAGGCAGGAAATGACCAGAGGGCGCATCATGAGGTAGATAGAGAGGCCCCACCGCCTTCCTTGGGGACTCAGGATGGACATCTCACCTCTGTGTCAGCACCATGAGGAGCTGTAGTGGCCCATGTGGGCTAAGCAAAAGGTACAGTCCTTGCGCCTGTGAGGCCCTTTTCAGCTGGCCTCAAGCTGGCGGCCTGGAGCAGGGTGAGGGGTTAGGAACTCTGGCCCAGGACCTGTCCTCATGAACACTGTCAGTGAGACCCGTTCAGACCTCATCTTGGGCCTCTGGCCTGAGGTGCTGGCCCTGGCTCCTGCCTCAGCTGTGTGGGGAGGCTGAATTCCTGCTTCCACCTGGTCTTCTGTCTCCACCACATTGCACAGTGGAGAGTTCCTCCTGAGGTCCCTGCCCCCATGCTCCCTCCCCTGGCCTTCATGGGCAGTGTGTCCTCCAGGTCCCTTCACTCGCTACCAGAAGCGTCATTCAGCCTTTACTCCCAGAGCTTCTGGCATGCCAGCGTCGGCTCCAGGGTTTGCTGCCATCAGCATAGCAGCCTCCACGTGCAGCTATGTCTGGTTTGTGCCCTTAGTGTGACATGCACACATGTGGGCAGCCTCCTACCCTGTCCACTTAGCAGCCCACTCCACACTGCCATGCTCCCGTGTCACACTTAAAAGCTGTCCTGGGTGTTGACTGTGCTGGCGCATGCCTGTAAGCCCAGCACTGGGGAGGCAGAGGCAGGAAGTTTGCTGTGAGTTTGAGGCCAGCCTGAGCTGCCTAGTGAGACCCTGTCTTAAAAAAAGTTGTCCTGGAGAACATAGCCACCCCTCAGCTGCCAGCCCCCACTGTGTGTCTCCCCTGGGGACACTTGGTTGTGTGTCAGAGCACTAACCAACACAAGTGTTATTTGAGTCTCCCTTCCTGGGAGCACACTCTGCATGTTCAAGAAACGCTGCTTTCCCTTCTCGAAGTCTCCTGTCTGTGGCCACGTTTTCTTTGGGACCATTGGTCTCTGGTTTTAGTGGCTGTTCGAGGTGTTAACTCTGATACTCACTCTAGGTACTTCGCCCACTCTGCTGTTCGGCTTTCTTTTGGGGGGGGGGGGCGCGGTTTGAAACAGGGTCTTGCTATGTAATTCAGGCTGGCCTTGAGCTCAGGAGCTATCTTCAGCCTCCTGAATGCTGAGTTTATAGTCGTGTACCACCATGACTGGCTTTTTTGCCCCGAAGATGCTCTTGATTCTGTTTCATGTAAACGTTTTCTTTTTTAAAAATGTTAAATTGATTAACCTTTTCCCTTATAGTTGGTGGGTTTTAATTCATAATTAGAAAAGCACTTTAACTTCTCTTTCTGGGCCTTTCTGTCACTAATCTGAGAGGTGGCTGTGTCCCGGCGCGGGCACGAAGGAGGGCTGGGTGGGCCAGGCTCTGGGTTCCATCCCAGCCCTGAAGAAGAAAGATCGAGCTCTGCAGGGTGCATCCAAGCCTGACTGTCCTGAAAGGCCTGCCACTGTTGCCCAGGCCCAGAGTTTCCTCCCAGCTACTGCCTTCTGTTTTCACCACAGCTGTTCTTCGTGTGCTTTTTGACTGTTCTTGTTGGAACTCAAAAGGAACATTGTGGTAAGTTTGTTTAGCGCTAGATAAAAGGGTGATAGTGGTTTGGCTTGGTTTGATTTGGTTTTGCAGTTCTAGGGATAGAACTCAGGATCTTTGACCTGAGCTACAGCTCCAGTTCCATTTTTAAAGTTTTAAACTTTGAGACAGAATCTTGGCAAGTTGCCCAGGCCAGACTTGAACTTTCTATCCTCCTGCCTTAGCTTCCCAGAGTGCTGAATTATAGGTATAAGCCACTGTTCTGGGCTTATAAATTAACTCAGAAAAATCCACATATGAGGTATTACGAGGTCAAGGATCCCCACAGCATTTCATGCCTCCTGTGGGTGTGGACCATTCTGATATGTTTGCGCGTAGGGTTCCTACTGCCCTGTTGTCTTCTGTGGTGCTTTTTAGCCCACGCCGCCCTCTCCAGTGGCTGTCAGGCAGATGAGGTGACAGGTGTCTGCTGGCTGAGCTCAGACCTGCCACCCACCACAGCTTCGCTGAGCACTCTAGGTGTTCGTGGTCCTCCCATTGATTCTCCAGAGCCTTCTGTGTGTGTTTCAGGTCAGCTGAAAGGAGCACTGGCTCTGTTTTCCTTTCCGCGGCGTAACTGCCCTTGGCCTCCACAGGAGTGGACAGGCATCTGTTCGCCCTGAGCCCCAAGGCAGGCTGAGGTCAGAGGGACCTAAGGACTCCCGCTCCAGGGCAGAGGGCAGCACTGGCAGCCGCAGCCAAGGAGACTGTAGAGAATGTATCCCGCTGCCTGCTGGGCAGCCAGACACCTCCGGCCCCAGGTGCAGAGCAGCCCCAGCTAAGCCTGGACCAGATCAGGGCAAAGAGCAACGCCCCAGGAGGAGTCGGGTCCCATGGGGCTACACCCTGGCCAGAGAGCTCCTATATGTGGACCCCTTCCAAGATGCTGACAGAAGAGCTTAGTGGAGGGTAAGGCCAGTCACCAGGCCAGGAGAGGGTGAGGCCCGCAGCATACCACTCGGACACCACTTGTAGCCAGATCAGAACATAAGCAAGGAAATCGTGGAGCTTCCAGGAACTCTCCTGGAACACAGCATTCCCAACCCCAGGCAGGGAAGGGTGTTCTTAAATGAGACCCCGTCACCAGCCGTGAAGAAAGACGGCACCTGTGGGGCGTGGAAATGATATGGTGTCTGGCCTCAGGCGCCATGCGCACTCTGGATCCAGATCGCACACGTCTGCCCCACTCACCCTGCCAGCCCAGAGTCTCATCCTTTCTCCTGCCACTCTTAGCTAACACTTTGGCTCAGAGTCTCACTCCTTAGGTTCTTCTTTTTTTTTTTTTTTCTTTTTCCTTTTTATCGGTACCAGGGATTGAACTCACAAGCTTGCAAGACAGGTGCTTATGCCACTGAGCTAAATCCCCCGCCCCTTTGCTAGGCACTTCAGACACACATGCCCAGCTCCGTGCCCCCTACCTTACCGAGGGCAGCTGGCACCCTGCTTCTCCACGTGCAGCAAGTGAACTGCATCTGTCCTTGCTCTACTCCCTGGCACCACGGTCTCCCACCAAGTACCAGGCGTGGATCTGTTCTGTCTCTGGGTGCTCTGCTAAGAGCTCACATTTGCAATTTGGAAAAGACATTGTGAGTTTTCAAGTAGTACCGCTTTTCCTGTCTTTTTTTCCTTTTGGAGCTCATGAGGGTATTGAAACTTTGGATCTGATCTCAGTATCCTAAATCTGAAAAAGAAAAACACACATCCTTTTACACCTTTGAGCTTTTTATCCCATTTTGTTTTCTGAGCTTTGGCAGGACATTAGCCTGCCAAAGGGGCTTGGTGATTTGATTGTAAACGTGGATTCTTTGTCTCTATCTCTGTCTGTCTCTCTCTCAATACTGGGCATGGATTCCAGTACTGATCCCTGAGCCACATCCACAGCCTTTTTTATTTTTATATTTTGAAATGGTGTTTCCAAGTTGTCCAGGCTGATTTTGAACTTTAAACCCTCCTGCTTCAGCTTTCCCAGTCATGAGCCACCACGATGGCTTGAATGTGCATTTTTGATAAGGGCTTTGTGGAAGCCTCTCACACTGGCACTCCCCTAAGACCTCCATCTCAGAAGTGTCTGTCTTCAGGATCTACCATCCCCAGGCAGGGGTGTCTCCAGGTCCCTCAAACTTCCTTGTGCTGTCTTAGCTCCTTTCCTGTGTCTGCAGATAATGGCCAAGTGCAGGATTGAGCTCCTGAGCTCCCTGCAGAGAACGGAAGCAGCTGCTCAGCCACCAGAGGCTTCCTTGATGGAGAATTTGTAGTCTGCGACCCCCTCATCCCCCCCTCAGGCTGTGGCCCCTGGAGGCCACTTCTCACCCTTCCTGTATAGCTGAGCCCAGAGCCAGGTGTGGCACCTTCCTGTCCCCACCCTCATATAGCAGCCCTAGCCCTGAGTCCTGCACAGCCCAGGCCCCTGCTGCATCCTTTGCTGGAATGTAGGACGGGAGATGAAGGCAGAGCTTGTGGGTAGAGGCATGGATAGGCCACGTGCTGCACCCTTACTGGTGTCTAGGCCCCTTCAGTCCACAGCTCCTCATCTTCGTCCATGACACACTGACCTCTGTGCACCTCGTAGGTCTCTCCACTGGCCGGACTCTCCAGCCTGCCCTGCCAGCCAGCAGAAGTACTGCTCTCTGCAGGGAGCTCAGCCCCACACTTGACCATCATCCACAGACACGGGATAGGAGGTAAGACAGGACTAGGAAATTTGCAGGACCTGGAGATACCCCCAAAATCTATAGCAGACACTTCAAGGACATGAGGCTGGCAGAACGCTTTGACCACACAGGCTTGTTAGCCCTCCCTGCCATCTGGGCAGCCTTATACAAGGGGCGTGCTTCTCTTCTGTCAGGCAGGCAGCTTTGTTGCTCTCGCCTGCCTGCAGCCGGTGGGGACAGGAAGGTGCCACACCTGGCTCTGGGCTCAGCTATACAGGAAGAGTGAGAAGTGGCCTCTAGGGGCCACGGCCTGAGGGGGGCGCAGACTACAAATTTTCCATCAAGCAACACACCTAGTTGCTTTCACAGAAGCCTGTCATCTGGTCTCCTCGTGTTTCCTCAGTTCTCTGTGTCAAGTGACTGCGCTGGGCCCTGCCTGGCCAGCTGTGGCCATGCACCTGTACCCTGAGGCCAGTCCCCAGGGGCTCCTCAGGCTTGAGAGCACTGGCAGTCTCCTCACTCTACCACGTCCTCCCAGTGACTCTGTGGCCCCTACCCTTGCAGGATCCTACTTCATCTTGTCTGCTGGAACAAGGGGCAGTGAGCCCAGGCATGGAGGCAGCAGGAAAAGACACCAGAACAGACACACAATGGCAGAGTTTATTGTAGCAAGAATCGACCCTGCAGGAGGGTTCCCCTGGTCCCAAGTCCCGGCGGTAGGTGGGCTGTGGGGTCCAAACATGGCACACTGCCACTTCACTGACAGCTCCTGGGCCTGACCTTGCAGGCAGGCCTCAGTGACAGCCGGTGCCGTCAGGAAGGCTGAGACCTGAGGGTCTCCCAGGCAGGACCCGTGCCCAGCCCTTCCCAGCAGGCCCTTGCTGGTCCAGCACCCTCCATGGTGCTGCAGGGGAGGGGGAGATGAGGCAAGGGAGCCCTCCGTGTCTCCACGCACTCCAGAACAGGTCCCCAAGGTCCTCATGGTCAGTGGTGTGTGCCCTGGCTCCAGGAGTCAGAATAAAACCTTCCAGCCAAAACCTAGACGGGGGCACCCATGGGGGTCATGGGCAAGGGCACACAGGCCGTGGTGCAGCTGCACGCATCCACCTGGGTGTAGCTGTGCTGGATGGCTGTTCCATTGGGACACAGCAAGGTCACGGCCAACTGGTGGGTCCTGCTCTCCTGGCAGCAACTGCAGTGGTGCTGCATAGTCTGGGCCTCCATGGAGTACCTGGGAGCAGTACAGCTGATGAGGCAGCCCCTTTGTCCACCATGTGATGAGGGCCTCTCAGACCCTATTCTGTCACCATAGTCCCCTTCCTGAGCCCACTTCTCCCCTGGTGACCCTGACTGACCCCACCTCTGGATACCTCTGTCTCTGAACACTTGCCCCTGGCCTCCAGCCACCTGAGAGAGCCACCTTCTTCTGCCCTCTAGCCACTCCTGCACATAGCAGGCCACAACTTGGTGTCCAGAGCTAAGGCACCTGGTGCCCATGTGGCACAGCCCAGGATCTGCACAGATGGACATGGGGAGGGCTCTGTAGGAGCCAGCATCCAGGCCGAGGGCCCTGGAGCCTGGGCAGGGAGGCCAGGCACCCACTCACTTGGACACTCCAGGGCAGGTACCCTCGCAGAAGGTGACAGTGACCACAGCTTCACAGCCCTGGTGCTGCAGGATGGTCATCTTGGCATGGACTTGGCAGGCATCTGGGCAGGTGACAGACAGTGCTGAATCTTCAGACACTCGTTGAGACCCAGCTGGGTGCTGTCCACCCTCAAGGCAGGAGTACCACCCCCTGCCCCCATAACCTGAGGCTCAGGTGGGCTCAGGGTATTAGGATCCCACTGCTACCCAGAGGAGAAAAATGTACAACTTCCAGCAGGCACCCTGGGTGGGGATTGGACAGGCTGGGTAGGAAAGTGCCTCAGTTTACCCTCTGCCTCTTCACAGGTGTAGCAGCAGCCAGTTCTCCTGAGGATCCCCTGTAGGGCCAAGGACAAGGGTAGAGCTAGAGGTGGAACTGGGGCCCAGGGTGGGATCCTGGGGTGAGGACTGTAGGGCCTGTGAGCTCTGCAGGAAATAGGCGGGATCTTGCTAGGCGGGATTCCCAACACACCCTGCAGAGGGACACGTCTGGACAGAGTGTGGGTTGTGGCATCAGCACAGGGACCCCGTTCTGGATCTTGCAGTGGTACTCGGTGCAGTTGTCCACATGACTGTTGATCCAGATCTGATTGGTCTGGAATGCAAGGTGAAGGCAGAGGCTGCTCGGCACCAGCTCAGGGCCAGCCCAGTGGGCTCCTAGGCAGGCTCCACCCCCTCACCTGCAGCATCTGGCCCTCCGGAGTGAAGCAGGCATCTGGCACGCAGTTCCCACAGCACTGCCCGTCCGTGCTGAAGTGCACAAAGCCCTGGGGCACAGGACGTAGGTCAGTCTCCCTCAGCCCAGCCTGCCCACCAGCCCATGTCCCAGGGCCCAGGGCCACTTCTCTTCCCCAAAGTCCAGCTCCTCCAGCACTGCCTCTGTCCACTGCTGCCTCCCAGAACCTGACCCCGGCCAGGGAGTCCTCGCCCCACTCAAGGAGGGTGGGCAGCTGTGTGCACCTGGGAGCAGGGGTCGCAGGTGTCCTCCTCACACTGTACGACCAGCTCCTGGCTGGCCCCGAAGAGGCAGGTGCATGTGTGGCAGGGAATGACTGCTGAGAAGGTTGTACCGACCTACAGAGGACATGGGGTGGCCTCAAGGGCACTGGATGCTGGCTGTGCCTTGCTGAGAGTCCCCAAGGCTGGCCAAGCCATCGCAGTGTGGGGCCCAGCCCTGAAGGGCTTTCAGCAGCCAGTGCAGCCTGTGTCCCAGCCAGGGCCCACAGCTTGTGCTTGGACGGGATGTGCAGACCCGAGTGGACACTTGGACCTGGGGCTCCCCCGCCCCAGCCGCCCTGCCTGGCTGAACCCTTACCCCGTAGAGCTTGCCATCATACTCGCACAGCTTGGGCTCTGCAAGGCAAGGGGACCGAGCGTAGCAGTGAGGCCGGCCAAGTCCCTCCACACCTGGAGCCTACCGGGCCCACCCCACCCCACCCAGCCCTCCCCGCTCACTGCAGTGGAAGGTGGGGCAGCAGTGGCCTTCCTCCTGGACCAGCTCCTGGTCTGGGGGACAAGTGGACAGGGCCTGGCGGCAAGTGGTCACGTTGCAGACTGCAGAGATATGGGGCCTGTCAGAGTGCTGCCCGCTGGCCTGGGATCTGCCCCCTCCTCCCCCAGATCTGGAAGAGCCAGTTTCCAGTGCATTTTTCCTTGAAGGCTGGTGTACTCTGTCACCCGTGGCCCCCAGGTCCCCGGGCCTCATGCTTAGATAGAAATCAGAAGCACTGTGACCCGCCCCCTGATCCAGCAGGACAGGCTGCCTCTTCTTCCCCCACTTTCTCTGCTTACCACACAGCATCTCAGGGCAGCAGGGGTTGTTGGCCTGTGGCCTGCTCACAATCACAAAGCCATCCTGGTCACACTGTGGGGCAGGCCCCTGGGCCTCACACTGTATTGGTGTGCACTGCACCGACATGGAGGTTGCGTCACACACGCAGGCCTGGCAGTCACTGACCCATCGCTGGCCGGGCTGGAACACACACAGGGCGGGTCTGAGGGCCTCAGCAGCACAGCGTGAGGAGGGCTGGAAGGACAGCCCCATCCCGTGGGTGCACCCCTCCCCTTCCCTTCTCGGCCCAAGTAAGGCAGCACTACTCACAAACTTGGGGAGTCCATCTGGCCCCACACAAGCTGCAGGGAGAGAAGACGAATGGTCACAGGTATTAGAGCAGCGGGCTGGCAGGGAGGGGTCAAAGGGACAGAAACCTCCAGATCCTGGAGAACTCGGGGTATGAGGCTGACAAGAGGCAGGGGTTGGGGCAGGGACGGAGAACTTGGCTCCCAGTGGGCCTCATGGTGGTGATGTGGGGCAGTGGGCCCAGGAAGACAGGCAGGACCTTGGCCTCACTGTGACCACTGCTGCCCTGTCTGGATCAGGGCTCTGGTTATGCAAAGGGTGCTTACGGCATTCTGGCACACAGATGTCCTGGTGTGAGCTGAAGAGGAGCTGACCCTCAGGGCAGAAACAGCCCTCAGCCAGCCCCCCACTCAGGGGGCTCTGGTTCCTGCAGGGCCAGGAGAGTGAGCCTCTGAACCAAAGCAGGCTGCCTGAGGGTAGTCAGGCTTGGGCATGACTGGCCCAGGAGCTGGTGGCCCCGGGTTTGGGGCTGCACCCAGTCTGATCCTCTAGGCCTGACCAACCCTTGGCACAGCTCCTCCTGCAGAGGTGCTCCTGCCCCGCTTACCTGGAGTTGCAGGAGGCTGGCTGCACCGGGCCACATGACTGGTACACCTTGGTGGCTGGGCAGGGGAGCTCTGTAGGCACAGAGATGGGGTCAGGGAGGCACCCCACAGTTGGGAGGCAGTGCCCCAAGGCTGTCCTGCTTACCGCATAGCCCACTGGTAGCATTGCGCCAGTCTGTGCACACGCCCCGGGCTCGGCAGAGGGCTGCATAGACTGCCAGGCTCTGACAAAGCACCTCCGGGGGGCTGGCCTGGCAGTGATCACTGGCGCAGCTGCTGAAGAAGGAGTCGGGCGGGACGAAGGCATGGCACTCGGCAAAGACCCTGGGGGTGGTCAGGGCCGGCCTCAGTGCTCAGCAGCAGACTCACCGCCAGGGACACCCTGGACCCATCCTGGCCCTGAGAAGAGGACTCACGGGCTCAGCAGCAGCTCACAGAGTGGTCCTGGCGAGCACAGGGTGGAGGTGGTAGCTGTGGAAATGCTGGGAGCTGGGGGCCAGGGGCTGGCACTCGGGGGCGGGCCGGGTGGTGGCCTGCAGTCCTCTCTGCTGCTGTCGGGCACCTGCCAGGATGGGGCCATGTGCCCGCAGGTGGGGGCCATAGTGCCACCCGGCAGGCGGCAGTCGTCACTCTGGCTGTTGGTGCAGGTGCCTGGAGAGTGGGCAGGTCACTGAGGAATCCGGGGAGCCTCGGTCCACAGCAGCCCTGCCTGGGGGCCCAGGGCAGGGGGCACTCACCACACTGGCCCTCTGTGTTGTGGCTGAAGTGGCTGTAGGGCAGCCAGACCTGGAAGGTGCTCCTGGTGAAGGCAACGCTCATGCTGATGGCTGGGATGTCGACACGCATGCTGGTGGCCACTGTCACAGACACGCTCACACCGTTCTTGCTGAAGCCCCCACTCACTTGAACGCCATCAAACAGGACCTGGGTGTGCCAGGGACCCATAACCAGGGCAGGCCAGCACAGAAGAGGCTGCTCAGGGCTCTGCCTTGAGCATGCTCTCAGCTTGGTTTCCCTTCGGGGCGTCTGTTCCCCCGGCTTCTCCACACCTGCCCCGTACCCCTTTGAGCTCACCAGACTCTCCTCTGTTCCACTGGTGCCAGTGGTGGTGGTGAGAATGATCTCCATGGCCTCATAGAGCACTTGCAGGGCACGGGGACAGCTGGTGCCGCTGACCGTGGCCCTGCAGTAGTGGCTGTGGAGGAGGATGCTCAGGTTCCCGTAGCGCGGGCGGATCTCTCTCACCAGGATGTAGGTGCAGTTGCCCAGGAAAGAGTAGGTCGTGCCATCAAACGTGGAGTAGTGCCTGTGCCCCCACCCGCTGCAGGCACCTGTGGGACACCACTGGCTGAAGCCCCTTCCTGGCCTCTCACCACCCCATGCCATCGCCCTCCACAGGGGCCACATGAACCCCCAGGCCTAAGTTGCCTCATTGGCAAAATGGGTGTCACAGCTCAATTGTCATCCCCCAAATCTGTGTCTGCCTTGGACCTGGGAATGTCACCATGCAGATGATGGGGAGGGACTGTTCTGAATGACCTAGGTGGTCCTCAACTCTTAATTCCTAAAGAGACAGAGAAGGTGAGACATGGGAGGAGGCTGCAAGCAATCAGGGCAGGGGTGGAGAGGCCAGGGTGCCCAGGGCCCTGGACTGAGCCTGTAGCCACACGCCGGAGTCTTGGACACCTGGCTCTGGGACTGTGACCGGGAGCTGCCTGAGCTCCCCCCATGGCTTTGCCCCCTCCCCTGAACTCACACTCGCACTCGTAGTGGGTATGACAGGGCCGGCTCTCCGCCCACACTTTGACAGGCAGGTGTTTGTTCACACAGGTCACATTGGCCACGGGCTCTGGAGGCAGCAGGACCACCTGGTTGTTGCCTTCGCACCTGGCCACTGTGCAGTTGTCCAGGGTCCAGGACTCATTCACCTGGGTAGGGAGAGGTGAGTATTCTCCTAGGTGCTTGAGGGCCCCAACCTGGCCCCCAGCGAGGTCCCTATAACCTCATCTGGTGTGCCTTGCCCTAACTACCAGGGATGCCCAGTCACACCAAGGGACCAGCCAGGGCACACAGACATCAGCAGCCCTGGCCAGACCTCAAATGCTGTGCCCACAGCAGGGGAGGTGGCGGACAACTGGACCCACCTGTCGGGGAGGGATGGCGTTGTCACAGCCAGGGGGTGGGGAGGGTGACACCGGCGTGGAGGACACTGGTGGAGAGGATGTGGGGCAGGTACCCTGGGAGCGGGTGATGTCACAGTGTTGGTTGCAGATGGCAGAGAAGTGGCACCCGGCTCTGTCAGTCTTATTATAGATGACGTCCCCTGTGGAAGAGAAAGCTGTCATAGGACAGAGCTACAGCCCAGGGGACAGGCAGGCCAGTGGCAGGGACAGCAGGCAAGGCTCACAGGGATGACAGAGAGGGTGGGAGGGCTTTGTGCCCAGACAGACAGATGCAGGCACACAGGATGCGGTAGGGCAGTGCAGGTCCACCTACTCACCAGGTGAAAACAGCTGTCCAAATGCTCGGCAGAAGCAGGGCAAAGGAGAGAAGTGTGGGCTAGAGAGGACAGTGGGTCTGAGCGTGGTGAGATTCGAGGAGGGGGCCACTGACACACTGAAGGTCAGTGGGCTGCTGGTGGGGACCAACGGGCTGGCGACAGTCCCTGGGGTGGAGGAAAGAGGCGTGAAGGAGCCCGTAGTCATGGGCAAGGTGGCTGTGGTGGTTAGCTCTGCGGTGCTCCAGGCCAGTGGTGGGGCTGTGCTGGAGCTGCTGGCCAGGGGTGAGGTGACTGTGGGCATGGTGGCTGAGGTGCTCAGCGCTGGGCTGGTGCCTGGGGACCCTGGAGTACTGTGAAGGCGAGTGGTTGTGGGAGCAGTCCTGGATGTGGCAGTGGTCAGGGTCCCAGAAGTCTGCAGCCCTGAGGTATGTGGAAGGTGGGTGGTGGATGCTGGCAGCGTAGGGAGACTCCTGGGGATCGTGGGGATGCTGGTGCTGGTGTGGGTTGTGGTCTTGGTAGAGAGTCCTGGCTCAGTCCATCTGCTGGTGGCTGAGGGGACAGGGACCTCGGTGTGGGGCCCAGGGGATGGTGTGGAGGCAGTGGTTGAGGTGCCAGGGCAGTGGCTGCGGTCACAACAGAGCACACGTACATTGTAGTTAAAGCACACAGTGAAGTTGCCTGTCTGGTTTTCGTTTCTGCAGGTCAGGCCGTTCTGCAGGCTACAGTCCACCACCTGCCCAATCTGGTCGATGCTCACCTCTGGGTACCTCTCTGCCCGGCACTCGATCTTCTCAGGTGCTGGGCACAGGGTGCCACCTGCGGCCCTGATGTATTCGTAGGTCTCCATGTCCCCATGTGGGACTCCCGATGTGGGGTGGTCCACATCGAACCACTCTGTCCACTGGCACCTGGGCTCACAGCTTGTCGTGCCCTGGCTGGTGGTAGCCTCAGTCGTGGTGCCCACCTGTGTCGTGTGTGTGCTGACCTCGGTGTGGAATGTGGATGGCCCAAGAATGGATGTCGTTTGCATCAGGCTCGTGGTCAGGGATCCTGTGGGGATGGTGCCAGCGGTGCCTGTCAGGATTCCTGTTTCAGGCCTGGCTGGTGACGTCCATGAGGTCCCAGGGACCAGCGTGGAAGGCCCAGAGGAGCCCAAGGTGCTGTGAGGCCTCGTGGTGGTGCGCAGCGTAGTGTGTGTGGGGACAGATGTGAACCCTCCATGGCTGGTGGTTGCAGTGGAGCCTGGAGATGTGGTGGGACTGCTAGTGCTTGCTGTCATGAGGGTGCCCACAGAGCTGGTGGCTGCTGTGGTGCTGGCTGGCCTGCTCGTGGGCTGAAAGGAGGGGACCTGCGTGTGCATGGTCACTGTGCCCACAGAGGTAGCTGTGCCCTGTGTGGTTTTGTGCGGCACGGTGCTGACCATCACTAGGGTGGTGCTGGGTGTCCCTAGAGTGGTGGTCAGTGATGTAGTGGTGGCTGTCCCCGGTGTAATGGTGTATGGAGTGGTGGCCATCCCCAGAATGGTGGTGGCCGTGCCCTGTGTAGTGGTGTGTGGTGTGGTGGTGGCTGTCCCCTGTGTAGTTGTGTGTGGTGTGGTGGTGACTGTCCCCAGTGTGGTGGTGGCTGTCCCCTGTGTAGTGGTGTGTGGTGTGGTGGTGGCTGTCCCCTGTGTAGTGGTGTGTGGTGTGGTGGTGGCTGTCCCCTGGGGAGTGGTGTGTGGTACGGTGGTGGCTGTCCCCATGGTGGTGGTGGCTGTGCCCTGTGTAGTGGTGTGTGGTGTGGTGGTGGCTGTCCCCTGTGTAGTGGTGTGTGGTGTGGTGGTGGCCGTCCCCTGTGTAGTGGTGTGTGGTGTGGTGGTGGCCGTCCCCTGTGTAGTGGTGTGTGGTGTGGTGGTGGCTGTCCCCATGGTGGTGGTAGCTGTGCCCTGTGTGGTGGTGTGTGGTGTGGTGGTGGCTGTCCCCTGTGTAGTGGTGTGTGGTGTGGTGGTGGCCGTCCCCTGTGTAGTGGTGTGTGGTGTGGTGGTGGCTGTCCCCATGGTGGTGGTGGCTGTGCCCTGTGTGGTGGTGTGTGGTGTGGTGGTGGCCGTCCCCTGTGTAGTGGTGTGTGGTGTGGTGGTGGCTGTGCCCATGGTGGTGCTGGTCATCACCTGAGTAGTGGTGTGTGGTATGGTGGTGGCTGTCCCCCGAGTGGTGGTGGCTGTCCCCTGTGTAGTGGGGTGTGGTGTGGTAGTGGCTGTCCCCTGTGTAGTGGTGTGTGGTGTGGTGGTGGCTGTCCCCATGGTGGTGGTGGCTGTGCCCTGTGTGGTGGTGTGTGGTGTGGTGGTGGCTGTGCCCTGTGTGGTGGTGTGTGGTGTGGTGGTGGCCGTCCCCTGTGTAGTGGTGTGTGGTGTGGTGGTGGCTGTGCCCATGGTGGTGCTGGTCATCACCTGAGTAGTGGTGTGTGGTATGGTGGTGGCTGTCCCCCGAGTGGTGGTAGCTGTGCCCTGTGTGGTGGTGTGTGGTGTGGTGGTGGCTGTCCCCTGTGTGGTGGTGTGTGGTGTGGTGGTGGCCGTCCCCTGTGTAGTGGTGTGTGGTGTGGTGGTGGCTGTCCCCATGGTGGTGGTAGCTGTGCCCTGTGTGGTGGGGTGTGGTGTGGTGGTGGCCGTCCCCTGTGTAGTGGTGTGTGGTGTGGTGATGGCCGTCCGCTGTGTAGTGGTGTGTGGTGTGGTGGCCGTCCCCTGTGTAGTGGTGTGTGTCGTGGAGATGGCCGTCCCCATGGTGGTGGTGGCTGTGCCCTGTGTAATGGTGTGTGGCGTGGTGGTGGCCGTCCCCGTGGTGGTGGTGGCTGTGCCCTGTGTAGTGGGGTGTGGCGTGGTGGTAGCTGTCTCCATGGTGGATGTGGCCGTCACCAGCCCCATCGCTGGTGTGCTGGTGGTGGAGCCCCTGCAGTGGCTGGTTTGGTCACAGCACAGCACACGCACCCTGTAGTTGTAGCACATCTGGAATGGTTCCATCTGCTCCCAGTTGTAGCACACAAAGCCAAAGCTGAGGTTGCAGTGCACGTGCTGTTGCAGCTCCTCGAGGGTCTTCAAAGGGTCCATCTTAGCCCGGCACTCGATGTCCTGTGGCTGAGGGCAGAGATTGCCACCTGCAGCCCTGATCTTGTCATAGGTCTCCACGTCACTCCCAGTGATATTGGATGAGGGGTAGTCCACGTCGAACCACTCTGTCCACTGGCATCTGGTCTCACAGCTTGTCATGCCCTGGCTAGTGGTAGCCTCAGTTGTGGTACCCGCCTGTGTCTCTGTCATGCGTGTGCTGACTTCGGTATGGAGTGTGGGTGGCCCAAGGATAGATGTCGTTTGCACCAGGCTTGTGATCAGGGATCCTGTGGGGATGGTGCCAGTGGTGCCCGTCAGGACTCCTGTTTCAGGCCTGGCTGGTGACGTCCATGAGGTCCCAGGGACCAGCATGGAAGGCCCAGAGGAGCCCAAGGTGCTGTGAGGCCTCGTGGTGGTGCGCAGCGTAGTGTGTGTGGGGACAGATGTGAACCCTCCATGGCTGGTGGTTGCAGTGGAGCCTGTGCTTGCTGTCACAAGGGTGCCTATAGGGCTGGTGGCTGCTGTGGTGCTGGCTGGCCTGCTCGTGGGCTGAAAGGAGGGGACCTGCGTGGGCATGGTCATTGTACCCAGGGAGGTAGCTGTGCCCTGTGTAGTTTTAGGTGGTGTGGTGGTGGCCGTCACCAAGGTAGTTATGGCTGTCCTAAAGTTAGTGTTGGCAGTCTCTGAGGTGGTGGCAGTTGAGGTGGTGGTCGCCATCCCTTGTGAAATAGTGTGCAGTGTAGTGGTAGCCATCCTGAGGGTGGTGCTGGACATCCCCTGTGTAGTGGTATATGATGTGGTGGTGGTGGTGGCCGTGCCCTGTGGAGTGGTGTGTGGTGTGGTGGTGGCTGTCCCCAGGGTGGTTGTGGCCATGCCCTGTGTAGTGGTGTGTGGTATAGTGGTGGCTGTCCCCTGTGGAGTGGTGTGTGGTGTGGTGGTTGCTGTCATTTTGATGGTGGTGACTGTCCCCTGTGTGGTAGCGTGTGGTGTGGTGGTGGCTGTCCCCCAGGCAGTGGTGGCTGTCCCTTGTGTAGTGGTGTATGGTGTGATAGTGGCTGTTCCTTGAGTAGTGGTGTGTGGTGTGGTTGTGACTATCCCTTGAGTAATAGTGTGTGGTATGATTCTGGGTGTCCCTTGAGTAGTGATGTGTGTTGTGGTGGTGGCTGTCCCTTGAGTAGTGATGTGTGGTGTGGTGGTGGCTGTCCCTTGAGTAGTGGTATGTGGTGTGGTGGTGGCTGTCCCTTGAGTAGTGGTGTGTGGTGTGGTGGTGGCTGTCCCTTGAGTAGTGGTGTGTGGTGTGGTGGTGGCTGTCCCTTGAGTAGTGGTTTGTGGTGTGTTGGTGGCTGTCCCTTGAGTAGTGGTGTGTGGTGTGTTGGTGGCTGTCCCTTGAGTAGTGGTGTGTGGTGTGTTGGTGGCTGTCCCTTTAGTGGTGTGTTGTATGTTGGTGGATGTCCCTTTAGTAGTGTGTTGTATGTTGGTGGCTGTCCCTTTAGTGGTGTGTGGTGTGGTGGTGGCTGTCCCTTGAGTAGTGGTTTGTGGTGTGGTGGTGGTTGTCCCTTGAGTAGAAGTATGTGATATGGTGGTGGCTGTCCCTTGAGTAGAAGTGTATGATATGGTGGTGGCTGTCCCTTGAGTAGTGGTGTGTGGTGTAGTGGTGGCTGTCCCTTGAGTAGTAGTGTGTGATATGGTGGTGGCTGTCCCTTGAGTAGTTTGTGGTGTGGTGGTGGTTGTCCCTTGAGTAGAAGTGTGTGATATGGTGGTGGCTGTCCCTTGAGTAGTGGTGTGTGGTGTAGTGGTGGCTGTCCCTTGAGTAGTGGTGTGTGGTGTGGTGGTGGCTGTCCCTTGAGTAGTTTGTGGTGTGGTGGTGGCTGTCCCTTGAGTAGAAGTGTGTGATATGGTGGTGGCTGTCCCTTGAGTAGTGGTGTGTGATGTGGTGGCTGTCCCTTGAGTAGTGGTTTGTGGTGTGGCGGTGGTTGTCCCTTGAGTAGAAGTGTGTGATATGGTGGTGGCTGTCCCTTGAGTAGTGGTGTGTGGTGTGGTGGTGGCTGTCCCTTGAGTAGTGGTGTGTGGTGTGGTGGTGGCTGTCCCTTGAGTAGTGGTTTGTGGTGTGGCGGTGGTTGTCCCTTGAGTAGAAGTGTGTGATATGGTGGTGGCTGTCCCTTGAGTAGTGGTGTGTGGTGTACTGGTGGCTGTCCCCAGAGTGGTGGTAGATGTGCCGTGGGTAGTTGTGTGTGTCGTGGTGGTGGCCGTCCCCATGGTGGTGGTGACTGTCCCCTGTGTGTGTGGTGTGGTGGTGACTGTCCCCTGTATAGTGGTGTGTGGTGTGGTGTTGGCTGTCCCTTGAGTAGTGGTGTGTGGTGTGGTGGTGACTATCCCTTGAGTAGTGGCGTGTAGTGTGGTGGTGACTGTCTCCTGTGTAGTGGTATGAGGTGTGGTGGTGGCTATCCCTTGAGTAGAAGTGTGTGATATGGTGGTGGCTGTCCCTTGAGTAGTGGTGTGTGGTGCAGTGGTGGCGGTCCCCATGGTGGTGGTGGCTGTGCCCTGTTTAGTGGTGTGTGGCATAGTGGTGGCCATCCCCGTGTTGGTGGCAGCTGTCCCCTGTGTAGTAGTGGGTGGCGTAGTCGTGGCTGTCCCCATGGTGGTGGTGGCCGTCCCCTGTGTAGTGGTGTGTGGTGTACTGGTGGCTGTCCCCAGAGTAGTGGTGGACATGCCCTGTGTAGTGGTGTGTGGTATGGTGGTGGCCGTCCCCATGGTGGTGGTGGCCATCGCCTGTGTAGTGGTGTGTGGTATACTGGTGGCTGTCCCCAGAGTGGTGGTAGATGTGCTGTGGGTAGTTGTGTGTGTCGTGGTTGTGGCCGTCCCCATGATGGTGGTGACTGTGGTATGTGGTGTGGTGGTGTCTGGCCCCTGTGTAGTGGTGTGTGGTGTGGTGGTGGCCATCCTCTGTGTAGTGGCGTGTGGTGTACTGGTGGCTGTCCCCAGAGTAGTGGTGGACGTGCCCTGTGTAGTGGTGTGTGGCATGGTGGTGGCCTTTCCCATGGTGGTGGTAGCTGTGCCCTGGGTAGTGGTATGTGACATAGTGGTGGCTGTCCCCTGTGTAGTGGTATGTGGTATGGTGGTGGCTGTCCCTGTGGTGGTGGTGGCTGTCCCCTGTGTAGTGGTGTGTGGCGTGGTGGCCATCCCCGTGATGGTAGTGGCCATCCCCTGGGTAGTGTTATGTAGTGTGATGGTGGCTGTCCCCATGGTGGTGGTGGCCGTCGCCTGTGTAGTAGTGTGTGGCGTGGTGGTGGCTGTCTCTGTGGTGGAGGTGGTCGTTGCCAGCCTTGTCACCGATGTGCTGGTGGTGGAGCCCCTGCAGTGGCTGGTTTGGTCACAGCACAGCACACGCACCCTGTAGTTGTAGCACATCTGGAATGGTTCCATCTGCTCCCAGTTGTAGCACACAAAGCCAAAGCTGAGGTTGCAGTGCACGTGCTGTTGCAGCTCCTCGAGGGTCTTCAAAGGGTCCATCTTAGCCCGGCACTCGATGTCCTGTGGCTGAGGGCAGAGATTGCCACCTGCAGCCCTGATCTTGTCATAGGTCTCCACGTCACTCCCAGTGATGTTGGATGAGGGGTAGTCCACGTCGAACCACTCTGTCCACTGGCACCTGGGCTCACATATGGTGGTGCTGGGAGCCCTGCTGCTGACCTCATGGGTTTGTAGTGAGGCTGATGAGCGGGACCCAGTCTGAAAGGTGACCTCTGTGATTGGCAGAGAGCTTGGTCCTGTGGACAAAGTGATCTCCCTTGTGAAGGAGGTCACAGTGGGAGTGGACAGTGTCCCGGGAGTAGTGAGGACAGGTGTGGATGTGTTGGGTGCCAGGGAGAAGCCGCAGGGCCTGTGGTCACAGCACAGGACCCGCAGCTCATAGTTGTGGCAGTGTGGGGGACTCTGCTCGCTGTTCAGGCAGATCAGGCCATAGGCTGGGTCGCAGTATACCTTCTGGTGCAGGTCCTGCATGGCCAACTCTGGGAACTTCTGTGCCCGGCACTCAATGTCGACAGGTGCCAGGCACACAGGGTACCCCTTCTCCTTCAGGGTCACAAGTGTCTCAAACTCCCCGCCTGTCGTGTTGGACTCTGGTTGACTCCCATCAAACCAAGGGGACCAGTGGCAGATCTCTCGGATGCACACAGTGGACATGGTGGGCTCATAGCCTGCACAGGTGGGATAGGCCACTCAGGCTCCTCTGGCCCTCACCCCACACAGGAGTGGGGCAGGGGTTACCCAGGGCTGGCCCAAGGCCTGCTTGGGCTGTTTCTCTCTGAAAGACCCAGCCTGGTTTAGTCTGCGGAGCACAGCTGGACAAGGGAATAATGCCATAGGTGAGAAAGCATCTGGGAACGTTTTAGGCCCCTGGCACAGCCCCACCCAGTCACTGTGCTGAGGGAGCCCCATGGCAGGCAGGGCTCAGGGCCAGGATGAGGCCCAGCCCAGGAAGCAGGTGGGTGAGTGGGACCAGGTGAAGCCAGGCACTTGCTCTACACGCCCCTGCATCTTCCCTTTCCCAAGTGTGGCCGCGCTTCCCCCGGAGGTGCACCTGCCTACCTGTTGTAGAGAGGGCAGCAGAGGTGGTGGTGAAGGTAAACGGCACTGTGGTCGGTGTCCCAGGACACTCTGTGACCCTGCGGATTAGGGTCCCATTGTCTCCACAGATGGCAGTCAAGCAGGCACCAAGGCCATCAGTGGTGTTGTAGATAGTGTCCCCATAGCTGTAGATCCGGTCCTCGTAGGTACATGTGCAGGCTGGGGACAGCAAGGACCATCTCACTCAAGGCTCCAGCCTCAGCCCTCAGCCCCAGCCCCCAGCCCCTCCTTACCCTCAAGGCTGTGATCACACTGGAGGCCACTTGGGGTGCAGCGACTGGAGGAACAAGACACTGAGGGCCTGTGCAGCCCAGCCCCCACCCTGCCACTTGGCCGCCCGCCACCTGCCCAACCCTCACCAACGCTGGCAGTTCTCAGCTGTAGGGATCAGTGTGTCGATGTCATAGTAGTTCCCATCCTGGTCATAGCAGCCGCACTGGGCCACACACTTCATCTGGTCCTCGCTAAAGTAGGGCTGGCTGCGTGGGCACTTGGGGTAGCAACCTGGGGTGGTGTGGGGGTCACTGGGCCTGAAGCCCTCTTGGGACAGGGCTGAGCAGCCCAGTGACACCCTTCCCGCTTCACAGCAGGGACATTTCCCTGGGTGCACCCTCACCTTCAAGGCCAGGCAGGTCCACTAGGCAGCGGCCACTGGGGTTCCGGCAAGTGCGCAGGCAGGGTGCCCCACAGGGCTGATAGTGCCACTCACACTCACCAGTGGGATTGTAGTAGTCACAGAAGAGTGCTGGGCACAGAGGGCAGAGGCTCAGTGGGTACCTGCCAGGCCCCCTCACCAGTGTGTCACCCAAGGGTTCCTTTCCCCACACTTGGGGCCCTCCGCCTGGGCATCCACCATCTAGGTTCCCACCCTCGGGCCACCTTGTTTGGGAGCTGCCTTCTGGACCACACAGGCTGACAGTGCACACGCACGCGGGCACACAGTGCTTGTCTAAGTGTGGCCATGCACCTGTCAGCCCCAGCCACTCAGCCCTTCAGCACCACGGACAGAGCCCCACTCACGGCAGATGTCAGGCGTCCTCCAGGACACACACACACCCACGTCATGGCAGGCCTGGGCATAGGCAGCCACGGCGGTGCAGAAGCACTCGCAGTCACCCCCTGAGTCGCAGGCGCATGCATCACTCACGCAGGCCTCATAGTACTTGGTAGAGTCGACCTGGAGTGTGGGATAGAGGTTTGGAAAGCTATGGTCCACCTGGTCAGAGTTGCTGAGTTTGGGCGGTCCTCGGGGCAGCTGTAGGCCAAGCCCCCACACTGGTAGTCTGATTTCTCTGATCCCCAGGCAGTGAATGCCTCGGTGTGGCCTGAGCAGTAGCTGTCCCTAGCACTGAGGTCCTTGTTCACCTATCTACCTGCCCAGAACCCACCTGTCCACCTCCACCTGCCTGCCTGCCTACCTGCCTGCTTGGCCAGGTCTGCCTGTGTGCCTACTTACCTGTCAACTTGTCCATCTGCCAACCTGTTCAGCTGCCTCTCCACCTCTCTTCCCACCTCCCTTTCCAGCTGCCACCCATCCACCATGTATCGGCCCACCTGCCCACCTGCTCACCTGTGAACATGTACTTGCCCCTTGGATTCTCGTATCACTGAGTCTTATTGTGTGGGTGACTCAATCACTGTAGCCTGGTTTCCCCTCTACCTGTGTGCCTGACCCCTCTGCTCCTGCTTGCCAGGATCTGTATCACTCTGCCTTTCATTGGCTGAGTCCCCTTCTGCTCCTCATTGCTCCTTGGTGCAGAGCCCCTCCCCACCCTGAACCTTGCTTCTGAAGGTAAGCTCCCTGCTGGGTCTGTCCCTGTTCACAGCAGTGAGGCTGGCACCCAGGACATGCCCTGTCACAGGCCCCAGCCGAAGTGCCGTGGGGAAGTTGTGGGAGCCTGACTTCCAGACCCTGAATGCCCCCAACATGGGTGGCTACCTATCTGTCCTCGTGAATGGGCAGAGCCCTGGCCCAGGCTGCTCCTGGGGGACATAGCTCAGAGGGCACCCCATTCTCATTCTGCTACATGGCAGCCTCTGCAGTTGAAGTCAACTGTCAGGCTACACGGGACCTTCTCAAACGGTGCATGAGGCAGCCAGGGCATGCTGGCCACTTGCTCCAGGGATATGTGTGGGAGGGGTGGGTTCACAGTTCGGGGAAAGGATTGTGAGCACCAGCTGGTCCTTCACGAGCTACCCCTCTTATCCTGACCTAGGAAGCCAGTGGACCTCAGTGGACCTTTGCTAAGGTTTAGGATATGGCTTTTAGAGCCTCTCCTGCAGGCTGATCACCTCCCCTGGGAGCCCCACTGACTCTCTGTCCATGCTGTGGGGCCATCAGTCAGCTTTGTGCCAGAGACAGGGGCCACAGGCACCTGCCTGGTGGGAGGTCCAGACGCCCCGGGAACAAAAAGCAGCTGCCAACCCCACTGGCCCTGCCTGTCAATCCAGAGCCCTGGACATCTCTGGGCCCCACCTGGGAGTGGCAGGCGGCGAAAGTGGCGCTGTTGATGATGCTGCACTGCTTCTGGGCCCAGGACCTGCGGTATGGATTGGCCGTGCAGGGGTCCTTGGGTGCCAGGGCGTCCGGGCAGGAGGGTGACAGCTTCCAGCTGTTCCCGAACTCCAGCGTGTCGCTCACCACAGCCTGGCTGCGTGTGGTCAGGTCGTTGACAGCGTTGTCGTCGAAGTTCCCACACAGGCCACAGACCCTACCCTGCAGGAGAAGGGAGACGTGGAGCCAGGCAGCAGGGTGGAGGAGCCTTCAGAGCCTGACCAGGAACAGCAGCACCCTGTGAACTTCCAGAGGGGGATGGGTATGAAGGGGAGCTGGCCGGGCACATGGCCACTCCTGCCCCCTGGAGGGCCCTTTGCCATTGCGAGGTCAATGGGCAGGACGGCTCACTTAGCTGTGTGCCAGTGCTCCCCTTGGTCAGCATGGGTTCCACGCTCTCAGAGTCCCCCGCAGGGTTCACCTTGTAACTCTGCGGCAGCCAGATGAACACACTGGTCTTCCGGTCCCAGGACACGGCCATCCCACTGCGGGTCTCAATGACCAGGAAGATGCCCATGTAGCGGATCTTGTAGGGCAGGCTGTTGCCGGGTCCCCTTTTCACCACCTTGAAGCCCCCTTCATGGAGGATCAGCTCGTAGCTCTGCAGACAGAGGCACACGGGGCAGGAGGAGCTGGGCCTGGAGCTGCCAGCCCCGGTGGGGCTCCAGAAGCTCAGGGCTGGTGGTGGGAGGGGTGTGGCCAGAGGCAGGCAGGATGTGCTGGGAGTAGGGAAGGCCTCGTGCTGTAGGGGAGCCTCCAAGGCTTGCATGACCCAACCCTCCCTGTGGGGGCACCACTCTGCCTTGTGAACGCTGTCATCTGTGGCTGGACACAGGTGCCACAGACGTAGTGAGGGGAGCCGTGGCCTGAGAGCTCTGTCCACACAGCCCAGGATGTGACCTCAGGAGAAGTGGGACCATCCTGAATGACCTGGGCAGCCTTAAACCCAGTGACAGAGAGAGGGTTGACACAGAGGAGGCAGCCAATAGGATAGAGGCAGGAGGTGGAGGGTTATGACCGCTGGCTGGGTGCCTGGAACCCCTGACTGGGCCTGTCCGAGATGTGGCCTGCCAGCTTGAGTCCTGGAGCCCCAGCCTCAGGACAGATCCATGGAGGCCTCTGTGGCCTGGGAGAGGGAAATGGTCCCCACACTACGTGTGCACCCCACCTCAACGAAGATCTTGATGGCCTTGGAGCAGGTTGTCCCAGTAGTTCCACAGGGAACATTCTCAGTGACCACGCGGAAGGTCCCATTGGTGCTGGCAGAGCCTCCACAGTAGTCCTGGAGCAGGTAGAGATGATGCAATACTGTCATAGGCCAAGGGAGCCAGCCTGGGGTGGTAGCTGTGTGAGGGGCCACGCACCTGGGCCAGTGTGTACTCGCAGCTGCCGTCGAAGCTATATCGTTCACCATCGAAGGTGATGAAGTGGCCATCGCCGTAGGCCACACAGGTGCCCAGGCAGGGCCGGTTGCTGCACTCCCAGCGGCGGTTCCTGCAGGTGCTGGGGAAGGCAGTCATGGTCACCTCAGAGACCCCTGTGCCGACTGTCACGTGGGGCTGCAGGCCAGCACTGGGGCCACACTATGCTCCTGTGGAGCCTCCCTGCCCTGACCCGAAGCCCGAGACACACCAGGTGTTGCAGCCCACACGAATGGTCTCCCCAGGCCGGTAGCTGGCCTCGTTGTGCACGCAGGGACAGTCCTCCTCAGCCACGCAGCCCCCGCTTCCATCAGACACCAGCCCCAGGGGGCAGACGCAGCCTGAGATGCAGTGCCTGCTGAACTGTGGGACACAGCTGGTCAAGACCGAGTGTGGTGAGCTTGCTGGCTCCCCCAAGGTCATGGACCCGACCAGGGGACACTGCCCATCCTGGGAGTGCTAGGTGGAGGCCACATAAGCACAAGGGTCAGGGAGCCCCACAGTCACCACCTGCAGCAGCACAGGGGTAATGGGGCCCAGGAGCTGAAGGGCCACACCCTCTCCCCACAAGCTGGGGGCCCAGCACTCACGCATTCCACATCCAGTGTGTGGCAGCTTCGGAGGCACTCAGCCCCAGGGCTGCCGACTGAGGAGTTGCTGCAGTCAAGGTACACCATGGGCGCCACACACCCTGGGGGACAAGGCACAGAGCATGTCACAGGCCAGGCAGAGACCCGCCCAGCACCATGAGCCCTGGTGCCCAGCCCCCCTCACCATGCCTGGGCAGGTGGAGGATACCTGGGCTCCTCTGCAGCAGGGTTCCCAGGCAGCTCAGCTTCCCACTCTCACATGAGCTGCAAAAGAGGGCGCACAGCACTGCACACAGCGTCCCCGCCTCACCAGGCTGGGATGGTGCAGCTGCTGGGGTCTCTGCCAGCACCAGTCTGCAAAGGCTCTTGGGGGCAGGAGGCAGGTGGACTCAGGCTTGGGTCTGATTCTTAGCTCTGGCTGCCCTTGGAAGCTTCCCCATCCCCCAAAGACCGGGTGCTCAAGGCTTGGCCTCACTGGGGTGCACTAGGGAGACTGTTAGGAGATGGGCCCAGCCTCTCCCCAGTCTCTTCTCTACTTCCCCGCCATGGGATGCGCAGTTTTGCAAGCACAGCAGCCAATGGACTGGAACCTCCAAGGTGGGACCTCCTCAAGGCCAATGTGGAGTGGAAGCAGGGGCACCGTCTGCTGAGCAGCTGGGAGCTGGGGGCAGAAGCCTTGGAGGGTAACCCCCACCCCACTGTGGCCCCAGGACCACAGTTTTGGCCTCCTCCCTGAGGTCTGCTGCCATGGTGCCCCCACAGAAAGCTCTGGTGAGGAAGATCCGCCTCAGAGAACCCACTGGCTGGGAGTGGGAGGCCAGCAGGAGCATGGCCTGGAACCCTGGCCTCCTTACCACACCACACCGTCATCCTGTACAACCTCCCGGGGTGCCACCACACTGCCACGGAAGTAGCAGGGGCACTCATGGGCTGGCACACAGGCTCCCGCCTCATCCAGGAAGGTGCCTGCAGGGCACGTGCAGCCATCCACGGGCACAAAGGACACACCACAGGTGATGTCGGCCTCACTTAGGCCACGGCAGGTGGGCTGGCAGGTGTCCACCACATACGCATAGCTCTGGGTCTTGGGGCAGCTGCTCATGTATTTGGCTGCAGGGTGGGGGCAGAGAGAATGATGCAGGCTGCAAGGCTCGCAGAGAGGGAAGCGCCACAGCCGCTGCCCTCCAGGGTCCCTGAGATGCCCACCCAACCAGCCCACAGGGCACTCACTGCAGACGCCATCCCGCCAGCCTCGGAGCAGCACGCCCTTGGTGGCGCAGGCATGCACATAGGAGGACAGTGCGGCACACAGGCAGTCCTCACTCCTCTCGCAGTTGCAGGTGTCAAACATGCAGTTCTGGGGACGGGCGACACGTCAGGGACCCCCAGGACCCAGGACCATGCCTATCATCCATCCCATCCCTGCCAAAGACAGAAAGCACCAGAAGGGGGCAGCCCTGGTAGCTGTGCTTGCTGTTAAGGACACAGTGGTGCCCCAGGAGAGGGGATAGCAGGGAGAGGGGAAGCAGAGGCTTGGGGCAGAGACCCAAGGAGTGGTGGGAAGACAGGAGGCCAGAGAGGTTGTGTCCCGGAGGGGGCCCCACAGGACAAGGACAGGTAGAGCTCTGACCACACGGGTTGGGAGGGTGGGTGAGGTGGGGAGGGGCGACTGAGACAGCAGCAGCTGGAGAGGTAGGGTCCACCCGTGGGGTGGGCTTGGAGATACAGTGGGGTCTGTATCTGGAGACCCTGGTGCATTCAGGGCTTTGGCTTCCAGGAACGTGGCCCAGAGCCACCTGCTATGGGTTGAATTGTGTCCCTGCAAAGGCTGGCTGGGGATGGACCCAGTGCTGTGGCTGGAGCCTCACTGGGAAGAGTTTTGCAGACAGAACTGAGATGAGAGGAGGCCGTGAGGAGGGCCCTAGTGCGGTAAGTGGTGTCCTCACATGAGGGATGCCAGGACATGGACACAAGGCAGCCACCCGAAGGCCAGGGCAAGAGGGGCCTCCCCAGGCGCCTCCCATCCATGCTCAAACTGCAGGGCTCCCACACGATCCCTGTCAGGTCCTCACCGAGTGGAAGGGTACAGGGTTCACGGTGGAGTGGCAGGCAGAGAAGGCCCCAGCAGGGTCGGTCAGCAGCGAGCACCAGTGCTGGGCATAGTTCTCTGCAGACGAACACATAGCACTGCCCTCCTGCCCTGAGCTCCTCTGCCCCTGCTCAGGAGCTGGGGCCCTGCTCCCTCTTAGCCCTGGCCCAGGGGAGAGGGGTACCGTTCTCCACGCTGAGCGAGCAGGGGTTCTCGAAGCTGTTCTTGGCATTGGGGCAGGAGGCCTGGGTCTTCCAGGTGTTGGCGAAGGCAGCGCCTGTGCCCTCTACCACCCCGCTCAGGGCCGTGAAGTCATCAGCCTGGTTCTGGTTGAAGTTTCCGCACAGGCCTGGGCCAGGCCAGAGCCATCAGTGGCCTCCTGGCTGCCTGCAGTATCTGAGGCGGCCTCCCCATCCCTGTCCACCACTCATCCCCTAGGGCCGCCCTGGAGTCTCACCGCACATCTGGCTGTGGTATTCTGGGTCCAGTATAACATGCACCTGCATGATAGGCACCAGCTGCACCTGCAGCTGCAGACCGAGCCCCGTCTGCACCAGGATGAAGAAGGATGTGGGCTTGAAGATGGTGATATTGGCTGTGGAAGAGGACATGGCTAAGGGGATCAGTGGTCCCCATCACTACCCACAGCAACCAGGGTCGGGACCCTGTCACCCCATTTCTCAACTAAGCAACCAGTCCCTGGGCCACTCTGGAACGAGACTACCAAGAGCCGGCCAGGTTGGACCCAGCTGGGCTCTGGGGCCACTTGCCTGCCCTGCGGGTGTCCACCTCACCTAGCCAGTAGGGGCCACATACCTGCCGACACAGGCAGCTGGGTGTAGATGGAGTTCATGAACACAGCGCCACTGGCCTGGACATGGATGGCCTGGGGAGCAGAGGGATAGGCTGGGGTCAGTGCCCACTGTCCACTCAGAAGGCGCAGCAAAAGACTACCCAAACCTGCCCTGAGGAAAGGGTTGCCCTTGCCCTGGGGCTCCCTGCCTCTGCCACTCCCAGGCCTGTGGCACAGGGTGCAGGGCAGTGCACTCTCACCGTGTCCCCGCCATTGAGGCTGAGTGTCACCGCCTTGAGACAGTTCTCGGTGTCCGTCAGACCACACTTCTGAAGCTCCACCAGCACGGTGAAGGGGCTGTCTGCGGCGCATCTCTGTTGGAAGCCAGGCTTCATGGGCTAGTGCAGGGTGGGTGCAGCCCCCAGGGTGCTGCTGGTCCCCAGGTTTGGGCTTCCTTCTCCGCACTGGCCTGTCCAATGATGGCTGCCAGGGCCCCCCTGGGCAGAACGGGCCTCACCTTGGACAGGACGTAGCTGCAGTCACCGTGTATGTCATAGAGCTTCTCATCGTAGGTGGAAATGTGGGACCCACCTTGCACAGAGCAGGTGCCGGGGCATGGCCATTCCTGGCACTGCCACAGCCCCCCAGAGCAGGTGCTGCGGGGAGACCATGAGCAGGAGGGATGTGAGACCAGGGGTCCCCTCCCCCACAGACCCCTGAGGTTGGGGCCCTACCAGGAGCTGCAACTGGTGTTGAAGGAGGTCCCAGGAACAAAGGTGCGGCCGCCATGCATGCAGGGACACTGAGCCAGGGGCAGACAGCCGGCATGTGTGATGTCATCCAGCACCGTGCCTGGGTGGGAGCGGGTGATGAGCACGACACAGGCCAGCTGCCCAGCACATAGGGATCTTGCCTCAAAGGAGACCCCAGCTAGGGCTCTACCCTGCTGGGGCCCAGTGTCTGGGTGAGCACTGTGCTCTGCTGGCCTAGTGTCCCCTAGTCCCGGGACTGTGACACCTGTCTGCCTCTCTCAGGAAGCACCCCCCTTGCTTTCTATGGTCAGTGTCCACCTGCCCTGGACCCTTAGGTGAGACCCATCCTGGGCAGGGGCAGGGCTGGAGGTGAGGCACAGGGTATGGGGCCTGCCTGGGGGGCAGAAGCAGCCGTCCACGCAGTGGTCCTCGCACAACTGGGAGCGATGGGGGTTGGAGCAGGTGTCAGTGCAGGGCGAGCCGCACTCCTGGTACTGCATGCCGGATGAGCACGTCTGGGCTGCTGAGGGAAGTAGAGCTCAGCCCTGCCTTGAAAACCCTGCCCTGCCACATTCCTACCCACCGCTTCCCCATGATCCTGAGGTCCCCAAGGCCAGTGTTGGGCTAGGCTTCTCCCTGCACACCTGAGGCCATGGCAGTCCTGGGAGGCTCTGGCCAGCACCCACACAGATCCTGGGGGCCACATCCTCCCTCTAGGCCCATAGGCCCCAGCATCTCCAGGCCCTGGGCCTCACTCATGGCTCTCCCCGAATCCTCTCTTCACCCACTTTTGCTGTGGCCCCTGAGTGCCCCTGAGCCTGTGTCCCAGCCACACACCAGGCCTCCATGTGACCCTGGCCCAGGCCCTGTGGGAGCACTCACGGCAAAGCTGGGGGCCCCTCCAGTTCTGTGGCTGGCCCCCACTGTGGGCACACTGGCGAGAGTATTCAGCGAAGGTGGCACAGGGACATGTGGGACAGCGGCACAGGTCCTGGACGCAGGCAGCCACATATATGCTGGCATCCACTAGCCCATTGCACTCGGAGAAAGCAGGGCCAAGCAGGATTCGGCGGCAAAAGTCCTCCTGAGGGCATTGGGAAGGCTGGGCACTCTCTGATCCCTGGGCAGGTGGCCATGTGCCTGTGTGGGGACCCTGCCCCTCACAGACCAGGCCCTATTCCACCTTAGATTTCCTTCCACAGACCCACCCATCACCTACTCCTCCTTCCATCCATACAACCACCCACCCATTGATCTACTCATCCACCCATCCATTCATCCACACAACCCACCTTCCATCCACTCACCCAGCCATTCATCCAGCCACACCACTACCAACCATTCACTCATCCCACAACCACCGCTCATTCACTCATCTATCCATCCACACAACTACCCACCCACACATACCCACATACCGATGCACATACCTACTCATCTATTCACCCAACCATCCATCCACCCACTCCCCCATTCATCTGCCCACCCATTCACACATCTATATATCCATCTATATACCCACCTATCCATCCATCCATTCATCCATCCATTCATCTGTCCATCTGTCTGTCCATCCATCCATCATCCTTCTATCCACCTGTGGTTCCTCCTGACTCTGAATCACTGAGCTCAGAACTTTGCTTGGTTCTGGAGTGTGGCCCAGGACAATGGACTCTCACACGCAGGCTTCAGGACATGCCTTCCCATGTTTGAGTACACAGGAAATGCAGACCCTGGGTGAACCTGGGGTCCACCCCCGGTGGTGGCTCAGAAAAAGGGGAGGCAGAGGCACCTGTCTGCCTCAGGAGGCCCTAGCACCATCTGCCTGGGACAAATGTGCTCCTGCCCAGGACCCCAGCTGGCTGTGTGGGGCTGCAGCCCAGGTTTCCTTTATGATTTAGGGGTCAGGGATTCTGCTCGTTTGGGAGCCCCTGGAGCTTCAGGGCAGCGTCCTCCCCACTTCCTCAAGGGCTGCTTGCTCCAGCTCCCCATGTGCCCCGCGGTGCCACTCATTTCAAGCATAGCTGCCTCGGTGTGCAAGGTAGAACTCCCCACAGGGGTGTCCTGCTTCCTACACTGCCCCCTCAGCTGGACCCCAGCGAGCAGGGGTCTTTCCTCAATGACTTGAGGGCTGGGAATGCTCTCTGCCCACCGGGGACATCTCTTGGGCCTCAGCTGGACTGTCCTTGCCCTACATCAGTTGCCCTCAGGCTCCTGCTGACTCCACACCCCAGGGTGTGCTCACCCCGTCCGTGCAGTTGTCGGGTAGCGAAGGCAGCGGGTCCTGGCACAGCTCCATGGGACCATCAAGCTTCTGCAGATTCCCAAACTGGAACGGGCTCAGCCTGGCATCTGCCAGGGAGAAGGCTCCGCATGGGAGGCTCTCCAGCTCCGGAGGCTGGGTCCCACCCCGCCCAGCAGTGCCCCTCCCTCCCCCCTTTCCTCCACCACCCGCTCAGCCCCTGACCCTGGCCCCTCACTGTGCACGTAGAACTCGCTGACATCCGGAAGCCCATTGAAGTCTCCACACAGCCCGCAGGTCTGGTTGGTGAACTTGGGGTCCAGCTCCAGCTGGGGGCAGGCAAGGCAGCTCCAGCCTCAGGCCTCTGCCCTGGCTCCACAGCCCCCTAATTTGGGCCTGGAGGTTCTCTCCCACCCCGGGGTCCCCTGAGGCCAGGCATCCTCACCAGAGCACTGTCCTCTCCATTCCACAGGAAGGTCAGGACCAGCCGGACATTGACTTTCACATAGTCACTGCTCTGCTCCACCAGGAGGCCAGCACGGCTGTAGGGCAGGTCCTCCCTAGGGGAGTGCAAGGTCAGGACCAGGCTGCCTCACAGCTCTGGGCACTGCCCTAGGTGCAGGGCTGGGCCACTCACCGCTGCCCGTTGACCAGGACAGAGCCGTTGGACATCTCCAGCACCAGCCCATGGGTCTTGAGCACGACTCGGGTGATGGTGGGCCTGGCACCCATGAGGCTGCGGCGCAGTTGCACGTTGAAGTCCTCGTAGGCAGCACCGCAGTGTGCGGAGAACACGTAGTTGCAGAGGCCAGGGAAGCGGAAGACGGCGCCATCAAAGGTCTTGTAGTGGAAGTCGCCCCAGGTGCTGCAGATGCGCCCGGTGTGCGCCGGGTTCAAGGCTGCAGGGAGCTAGGAAGTAGGCGACTGCCAAGCACCCCTATTTCCTGCCCAGCTCCCTTGGGCAACCACCTGAGACCAGGTGCCCCATTGCCCTGCTTTGCTCCCCCAGCGCTTGACTCCCCCAAGACCCCAACCCATCCCTGGCCCTCCCATAGGTCCCAGGGCTGCTGGCCTCCTGGGTGGTCAACAGATGCCACTAGGGGGCACTGGCCCTGGCCAGGGTTGCCCAGTGCCCATAGGTACCATCCTTACCCCTAGGCCCGGCAGAGCCCTGCCCCCAGCTGGCGGAGGCCACATCCTACTTACGGCTCACATTGGGGAAGACAGCGAGGGGTGGGATGAAGGTCAGGTGCCCGGCAGACGAGGACATGGGATAGGCTGCGAACAGGGCCAGGTCACTCTGGGGATAAGGCTGGGGAGACCATTCTCTAACCTTGCTGTATGAGTCCCCCCTCCGGCCATCGAGGCCTAAGACAAAAGACAGGGCTGTCTGGCTCCTTTTAGCCCCTCCAGACCCTCCTGGGCACTCCTCATCTGCTGACCCACTCTGGCCCATGAGCTCTGCCCTGCATGTTGGTCTCCCTGGGAGCCTGACCCGTCTGGCACCCAGCACTGTCTCCAAGTGGAGGCCAAGGAGACCCACCCTACCTGCCTACCACCATCTACCCTGGCACCATGTGCAGTGAACACTGTGTCCCCTGGACTGAGCTCCATAGGGATCTGGATCTCTGCAGGGAAAGGGGTGGGAGTCAGCAAGGCCTGAGTCATGATGGCCACCTGACCATGACCACCAGCACACTCCTTACAAGGCTGGAGTCCTCCCTGGCCTGACATGACAACCCTACCGGCTCTCCTGGTCTGCAAGTGTGGGGCAGCCTTCTCATCCTCCAAGGGACAGAGAAGAGGTACCCACCATTCAAGGAAGAAAACAGAATCAGGAAGCAGCCTGGTCCCAGAATGCAGCCACCCAGGGTGTTCAGCCCCCTTCCCTGTTCCTCGGAGGACAAAGGCCAGCTTTGTTGGACACGGTGGGAGGTTCCCAGGAATTACTTAGCAGAAACCCAAGATCAGAACCAGCCCAGAGCTGGAAGTGGGAGTTGGGTGGGCCGCACGAGGCACCAGCACAGGGAGGGCACCTAAGGTGTTCTCCCCTCTGCCACCCTGGCCCCAGCCTGAGAGAGGCAGCACCACCCTCTCGTCAGAGGGACGGCTTCTCTGCAGCACCTACGGCTCTGCAATGGCCTTCTGAGGCTGACACCCAGGCTCTGCGTGCAGCCTGCTCGCCTAGCGCTGTGGGCAGCTCACTTCCTGTTTGCCTTTCCCACCATGGCCTGCTGACATTGGAAACCACAGGGCCCGTTCATCCCTCCTCTCCAGCCCTGCTTGACTGCATTTCTCAGAGGTACAGCAGCTTCTGTGTCCCCCCGGCCTGATCCTGTGGACCCTGACCCTGACAAGGGTTTTGGCAGTGCAGTGGCTCCCCCACTGCAGGCCACTCTTCCATCTCTGGTCCTGGGTTCTGCTCCCGCTTCTGGTGCCCTTCGTGCTCTGGAGACATTAAGGCCTCACTGCCCAGCTAGTGCTGGGACAGCTCATCGCACCCTCCAGGCCTCGGGTAACCAGGCCCAGGCCACAAGGCCTGGAAGAGCCCGAGATGGGGGAGCGTGGCCAAGCCCCACGGCTGGCCTCCAGATTGAGCAGCAGGCAGGGGCTCCAAGGAAGGGAGTGTGGGGACAACACCCCCTCACCACACCCTTCACAAATGGAGGGGTCTCAGGCTGGGTTTCCACCTGTCCAGCCCAAGACAGTAGTGCCACTCACAAGGGCTGTGCAGCCCCAAGGTCTGAGATGCCTGTGGGGAGACAAGACGGCTGGCCAGACTTGGCCCTGGCATGAGACTGTGGCCAGCACCCTGCTTGTCTGCTTTGCTTCAGCCCTATCACCTGGAGGTGGGGTCCACTTGTGGGGCCTTCTGACTGCAACCAGAGCACAGAGGGCTGTCCCTGTCTTCTCTGAGGCTGAGCCTCTCAGAGCCCTGAGATGCCAGCCCCTCACCCCTGGTGAACTGCCATGCCTCTCCCAGCCCACACCCTGCCCTAATGCCCATCCAGGCTGGGACTCTGGGTCCCTGACCTGCTGCCCCTGTGAAACACAGTTGAAAGCCCAGGGCTCATGGGGCTGGGGACACCACAGTGGGCAGTAGGAATGGCCTGTGCCCTTCAGTAGAACCCACAAGAGACAATGCCTGGGGAAGATGGCACCCGAGGTGGGGGCTCCGGCCTTACCTGCCAGCTGCACCAAGAGTAGAGCCTCGAGGACCCAGGCTGGTGCCCAGCTCTGGCTCCTGGGGCCCATCCTGAGGGCCAGCAAGGTGGGCAGCAGGTGAGGGAGTGGGGCTCGGCACCTGCTCCCAGGGGCCTGGGCTTATGTAGCAGAACTCCTTGGCCCCCTGCCCACTCTGGGCCATGCGGAGCAGTGTCCACTCCCCAGGGCAGCCACGTGTGTTTGCTCTCGGGGAGGGGCCATGGAGAGAGATTGTGGCCTGAGGAGGAAGGATTTGCAAGGCTGTGCCACCAGTCGTAGGTGCCCCCCCCCCACATATCCGAGGGCTGGAGGGAGAGGCTGGGTGCTGCCTGTCTGGGGGGGACCCCTGAAGTGTCAGCGAGTAGGAGGGGGTCCTGGGGGCCTCAAAGTCACTGCTTAGCTCAGGACATGGGACCTGAGCACACTGATTAGCCCCATTGGGGAGCGCTGGGGTGCGTGCTGGATAGGTGCCTGGTCTGGTGCCTCGTGGCATTCTAGAATGGGGCTCCAGGCCTGGGGACCCCACCCGTGGGGCTGGCCAGAGCCTCTGGCAGAGTCTGGAGATCTCTGGCCTCTTCTCTGCTACAAAGGCCAGCTCGAGGGGTAACTGAGGCCCAGCCCAGCCCTGCTGAGACAGCATTCTGCTTGGTCTCCCTCTCCTGTGAGTGGCAAAGGACCCCTGGGCCTGGGGTCTGCCTGGACCTCAGCTGGCGGGCACCGTGACACATGCACAAGCCACAGGGTGGCGGTGACGAAGCCCAGGCGTGCTGCCCACCCGGAATGCTCTTGCTGGGCTTCCAGGGGTGTGGGGCAGCCTTTCCCAGCAGTGACGGTCCTCCCTGTGGGCACTGTGACTTCTTCCTGTTGGTGCAACTTGAGCTGTCTCGGTACCTGCTCTTACAGCGAGGTTGCCAGCTTCAGCCCTACAGGCCCGCGTGGGAATGAGACATCCGGATGCAAGAACGTGGAAATGTTCCCAGGATGGACAGACTTGGGGTGGGGGCCCTGGCCTTGGGGACTTGCCCACCATGGAGAGCCGTTGGGTGGTTTCTAGGTTGCTTTGCTTTGTAAATGTGCACCCGTCTGCTCCCCTCTGAGGGGAACTGGTAGGGGCGGCACTGCTGGAGAAGGGGAACCCATCAGAAAGTCTCGTGAACACAGTGAACACTACGGCAGGACCAGCACCCCTGAGTCCACGTGCAGGAGGCCCCACAGGTGCCAGGCACACAGAGACAGCAAGTGGGGTGGAGTGGGAAGGGGGCGGGAGCAGAGACGAGGAAGCCTAGCAGTGCTGGCTGCAGTGCCCCAACGTGCACTCCACCAGGGCCACAGCAGGCATGGTGTTTCAGGGGCCTCTTGCTGCAGTAATCATCCTAAAGGGCCTGGGACGAATTTTGCTGATGGGGCCCCACACACAGCCAGTGGCCCTGGAGACTGCTCTGGTGTGCTGCCTCCACCACACGAGTGGCCAGGTTGGGGGTGGCATGGACTGGCTAACCTGGCTCTCCACCCCAATGCACCCTCCTGGTTGTGCTTGGGCTACTGGCTGTACCCCAACCCTGATGTTCCCAGGTTGGAGAAGCCAGTGCTAGGCAGCCAGGGCTCTCTTTCTTCCCCAGCCCACTGGCAGCAGTGCCACAGAAAGGGCTTGAAGGATCCAAGGACCAGTTCCCACACGTGGACCCTGCAACCTCCAGCCCCCATTGCCCTCACCTCTGGCCTGCTCACTGATGCTCATGGACACCATGGCATCTAGCCTGGAGCCAGCATGGACATTGCCCACTGCCTAGACAGCTGCTCCCCAACCTGCCCGATGGCTGGGCAGCTGCTGTGCTCCCCAGCCTCTCCCAGGTGGTGCCAACAGCCTGCCCTCCTCACCCTGCCTGGAAGGGCCCCATAGAGGGGCATGGGCCCGCACAGCATGGCACAGCATGGCATGCACGGTGGGCCCTCAATGCCCTGCCCCTGGTCCTGCCCCGTCCTAGGACAGCCGGACCACTGCCACCACCCCAAGGGTCCGCTGCAGAGACTTCCCGGATGCGGCTACCCGGCCTGTTTGCTCAGCCGCAGGGAGTTTACCTCTTCACAGTTGAAGGACTGGAGATAGGGGTAAGAGAGGAAAGGGACACAGCTGGCCCGATGAGGAGGTGCCTGAGGCCTTCCCGGGACCTAAGGTCACGTCACCACCACTGTGCCAGGAAGTTGCCTGTGGCTTGGACCTGGGCGTGTACCTGTCTCTCATTCCACCTCTGATTGCTGGGCCAGCAGAACAAAAGGGACTGTGCTGGGCCATGGAGGGTCTGGGGTGCCCACAGTCCCTGTGGATACAGACCCCACCAGAGCCAAGGTGGCCATGGTGGCCATGAACACAGAGCCCACAGTGAGCTCACCTACCCCACAGGAGCCAACCTGTGTGCTCCCACCCCCTGGGGCCTCTCCATGCACCCTGCAGAGGCAACCCCAGAGATAACCACCTCTCCCACACAAGCTGCACTCAAGTCCGCTGCCCACCACGAGCTTGGCCACGACTGGGGCCGCCTAGCCCCTCCCTGCTCAGCCTGCCTTTCCCTCCACCTGCAAAGCAGCGCAGATCCGGGACACAGACTCAGAGCCACCAGCCCAGGGCACCATGACCTGACACACAGATCTGAGCCCCTGCTGTGCCTGCTCTGGTGTGCACCTGGGCACAGGCTCCCTGGCCCCGAGTTTCACCGGCTCACTGCTGAGCCCTGGAAGATCTGCCACATTATTTTCCACAGTAGCGGCACCAGTCTACACCCCAGCCAGGCACCAGGGTCCATTGCCTCTCATCTTCACTGCACCCGCTCTCCTCCTCACTCCCTCCCTGGACCAGGGGCAGGGTCCAACCCCGGGACTTTCTATCACTGGCGCTCAGCCCTTTTCATTTTATATTTTTGACACAGGGTCTCACTAAGTTGCCCAGGCCGGTCTCAAACTTGCCATCCTCCTGCCTCAGCCTCCGAAGCAACTGGGCCCGTGTCTGGCCGATTTCTCCCTTTTTGATAGCAGTTGTGGTTTGATAAGGCTCTCTCCGGCGGCTCTGAG